TGTATATAATATATTATAACAGACAATTCATATATTTAAAAAATAAATAAATTCTTTTATTTACTAAAAATAATTTAATTTTCTACCTAAGTAGTTAGAAAAAAATATATATATTAAAATCTGTGAGGATAAATTGTGATACAAAATGTCATTAATTTTTAAATGGAATTAGTATATAGTTGATATAAATTAAGTCGCTTTTATTTTAATGTATAACATGTGTGTTGTATAAATTATAGGTTAAGTAGCTCTAACTCAAAATTATAACTACGATAAATTATCTTATTTAATTATATTAGCTGTGGCTTTTTCTGCTTTCCAATTCATTATATTTATATATTTATATAATAGTTTTGATCAAAGCTTACATTTTTATTTGATTGCCATCGATCACTGGTGTATATATTTATACATACCGAACTATGAAAACATCAAACCACTATTTAAGATCCTCAACGTTTCAAATAGAGTCCTCTTTTATAAATATATAAAATAAGTATTCTGTTTTATTGATAATGATATTATTTCATATAATATTATCTTGGAATATTTTAATGTAACATATTATTCATTTACTTTTTAGTACATGAATGGAAAATTTTAAGATAATAAAAACCATTAATATTTTATAGTTATTTAAATTCTATATTAAACACAAACTTTTGCAATTTTTCTAACTACTTATTAATATATTAATGTTAAAATTTCAAATTTATCAATTTAATTTTCACGCACAAATGCAATATTTCTAAAGTTTTTTGAAGTATACTTTAATTAGTCTAAAAAATTATCAAAATTTTTTACCTATAATAATTATTAGGCTTAACAGGTTTTCTTCGCGCAAAAAATAAGGCATTATGTCATAAATTAATAAAAAAAAATATTGTGGCTATTTGTTTGAAATACTCCAAAATTATATGCAAAAAAGCTTATCACCTCACTTATTTTTTTTATTTTTTTACAACATTTTTATAAATCATGAATTACTTTTTTGTAATAAATATTGTATTTTGAAGCATTTAACTAATTAAAATATGTATCATCAATCACATAATAATAAAAGGACATAATGTGCAGATTAATTGATTAAATAATTTATGGAAGTAATTTAATTTAGGTACGATGAGGAATATATATTTTTTTTATTTAAATATTTTAAAGCACTATAATTAGAATTGTTTATATAATCTACGACTATATCATCTTTATTATTTAAGTCACATTATCTTTAATCATTTTGATTAATAATTATTATTGATAGTTAAAAATTTGATATTATTTTAAGTTTTCTATAAATGTTGAATACTATTAACTATTTATATAAGTCTATAGGGATTCAACAGGTATTATAAGTAATAATGACTAAATGATAATTTAACAGTTAACACTAATTATCTCAAAAAATACTAAACTTTTTTTGTATAATTTAAATGAACCTATCACGCTATTCAATATTTTTAAAAATAAATTATTTATTTTTTTGATAATATCATTTTTTAGTTTTGAATTTTATAACAACATACATTTTAATTTCATATTTTAGATCGGAATAACCATGAATTAATTTAAAAAAAATATATATAAAAAAATTAAATTTCAACTCTTGTTTTATTAGTTAACAACTAACGAGAAGTAGTTGGCTAATATTTTGCAGCGATACATCAAGCCACTAAATTCCATTGACTAAATTTAAAATACTTTTAACTAATTATTTACTTTTTTAAATTCAATTTTTATGTAAGTATTATGTATCCATGCTTTACATCAATATATTCTGTTTTGGAATATCAAATATTTATGTTGGTATTAAAAAGGTAAAATTTAAAAAACGATAACGACTAAAAATATAAAAATTTATATTTTTTCTTCAAAAATCTTATTTTGTAATGACATAAAATTCTTTAAAAATTATTAGCTTAAAAAAAAATTGGCATCAAGAGAATGAGTAGTTAATATTAAAAGAATCATTTTATATACAATAGATAATATAATTTAGGGTAGGCTAGTCAAACGACATTTAAGATAGGTATTTCAATAATGATAAATAGCATTTTGAAAAATGTTATTTTCTTTTTGATTTATAGTTTATACTTCACAAATACTCGTTAAAAAGAATAATTTTGCTTGATGCTCTAAAGATTAGTAAATGTATACATTTTCTATATTTTCCGGAAATTTATAAAACTGTGTTATTTTTTACTAATTACTTTATATAATATATATAATATACTTGTATAAATATCGTATTAATATTAATTAGAATATTTTATTTCACTGTTGTGGTGTAAGGATACATTTAAATTTTCAAAAACCTTAGTCACTTAAACAAAATAAAATAATAAACAACGCCTATTTTTTAAGTGATTTAATTTTGTTATAATTTGCAGGGTAAGAAAATCTAAACATTTTCAGCCATATAAAACAGTATTAAAAATATAAAACAACTTTTATGAGACGTTAACTCTTGAAAATTGTTTTTTTCTGCATTGGGATAGAAGCTTAAACCGGATATTATATGTCATTAAATATCATATACATGGCAGTGGCCAGTGATATTTTTTCTTTCCTTATTTTTATTTTTAATAAAAATCTCAAAATGTTCTAGTATAAATAATACATTATCACAATAATAATTACATTGTCAATATGAAAAGTCGACGAAAAATATATTGTATGTATATGCTAATGCTAAAACGATTGTCCGACCGATGAAATGCTTTTTATCTTTAATGATAAAATCGTTTATGTACATTTTAGAAAGGATAAAAATATCTACACCACTAGTTCAAAAAATATATGCTCTATAGTATTGTGCATATTATATTTATACAGTAGAAAATTATTTAATATAAATTATATGGTTCTTCGAAATGGGGTAGAATAATAATTTAAATGTTGAGATTAAAAACAACCTCAACTGGGCAGGTGTATTTAATTAAGTCTAAAATAACTTGATTTAAAAAAAAAATACCAAGCGAGTATTTCGGTTGTACACTGTAGGATTTCAGATTTACCAGTGATTATTAAAAGCTCACCAAAATGTAATTAATTCCCGTGTTCTGGTAGCAGCACAGTTATCCAGACATAAATTATTTTATATATAAAAAATGCGTATTTTTACAATTCCTCTCACGTAAAGAAACGTATCTCTTGCCTCAGGGGATGTGAGATAAGACATCAGAAATTCACAACAAAAATAATTAATAAATGCGGCAAGTTTGCACGTGAAATTATTAAATATAATATGCAATAACGTGTTTATAAAACGAAGTAATTATACCAAGTCATCTTGCTCTCTAAACATGTCCTCATAGATAACTTTAAATTTTAATATATTTATTATTTTTGAATTAAAACTTTTACTTGTCAAATTTATTTATATTATAAAAAATATAATTTATAGTATTATATAATATACAATATGCGTTATAAACATAATAATAATTTTTTTTTTTTTTTTTATATAATAATTTAAATTGTTTATCGTTTGAAAATTAACACATAGAATATCTTAAATGTAATATTTTAATAAATTTTCTTTGTACTGGGACAACGTAAAAAATGATCACACTAATGCTCCAACTAAGGATTAACTATAGTTTTAATCTACCCAGGGCTATAAATGGTATCTTTATTTACGTGTAATACAATACGCTTATAAAGCTATGGTACATCTACTCCCTTTAGACATTTTTATAATTTTTAACATTATTATATGCGAAAGTCTGACTGAGTAGTAAATTAAGTTTATATATTTAATTTCAAAGATCAGATATTATTTGATTTTTTTCAAAAACTGTGACAAAGTAAAAAAAAAAAAAAAATACAAGCTGATTAAAAATCTTACAATATTTCTTTATTGCCAATAACTGTCTAGAATTCAAGAATCTAAATAAAAAATAATTACTATTATCATATTCAAATGAAACGAACAGGAGCAAACTATAATTTTCGAAAAATTGATTCTTATATACAGAAAAACTTAATTAGATGAATCTATATTTGGCTTTTAATACTTAAACTAGAAAAACGTAATTTACTTATCTATGTTAAATATTAAAATAACTTGCCAAACTTACAAAAACCACTCTATTCATGTATTTTATATTAAATAAGACATAAATATAATTTAAGTTTCATGAAGAAAAATAATATAAATTTAAATTATTCAATTGTGAACTTAAATACATTTAATACGACTTTTACATACTAATGGCACGTTTAATAAAAACAATTTACATTATTCATAAAAACGAATGGATAATTTTCTTAACTCAATTTATATTTTATTTTATTATTACTCAGACTAGAATAAAGAAACAGTTACTTATTAATATATTTAAGAATATCCAAAAATAATTTTATAGTATTTCGATTATTAAAATGTCAATGACGTCAGCGCGTAAATTATAAAAACAATTAATTTGAGAATATGAGTTTTGGCTTCTGAGTCCTAATATTCAAAAGCATATGTATATCGCACATATTTTTTACGATATAAGATTAATTATATTTTTTAATTTAAGTTTCAAAATGAATCCATACAAGATATACAATTAAAATTGTATAAAACTAGTTTAATGTACAGAAATTATTCATTAAACATCTAAAAGGTTTCAAATAACATCTTTATTATATGCTAAAAATCAATTTTAAATTAAATTCAATTAAAAAATATATTTATTAGTATAAATTTTATTTATACTATGAATATTTTTAGCTTTTAAACTAAATAAATTAGACCAAAATTATTTAAGAAAATTATCATTTATATTATTCACTTAGCTATTATTTTAGTATTTTTATTGTATAAGGTTTTTTTTTTTTTTAAATATATTTTTTAAATATTTAAAATATTTAAAATGTATCTATTTTCAGAAGTAAATTAAATTTTCGTATTACTGTTATATAATATTATATTCATGACATTTTTAAATTATTAAATAAAAGTATAAATATAATGTATAATTTATAATGAAATAAAAAATTTTCAGACTTACTTGCGATTACGATTGCACGATCCACAGAAAAATCCAACAAGTGGCGAATTCTCGGCTGAACGTTCGAGCTGCAACTATACCGTTCTCTTGAACAGGTGGCAACCTACGACCCGCCCATCCACCCACATGAAAACACAACAATACGACCTGACGTCACACTTCGGCGCCGACGACAAACTCGATAGTAACGAATTTGTGTGTTTACACGAGACGAGATGTGTGTGCGTGTACTTTTTTTCGCCCTCATAATTTCACATGTACATAAAGTAGATACAACGAATATGTATGGCTGTATCGTTGTGACGATGTATATTCATTGTATTGTACTTTAATATACTAATGAAAAATTATTATTTTTATTATCAATCGTTATAGACTTATTAAACATATTATGTTTATACACACGATCGTGTTTGAGTTTGTTTAACAATTTTTAAAATAATTATATAATGCGCGCATATATCGTTTAAAAATTTACAATTATAAATTTAAAAGTTCCAAAAGTGGTTTATACGCACAACTTTATGAGATTTATAAATAATAATAAGCATTTAAAACAAATAAAAATTATTGTGACACTATACATAAATTATTATAACATTTATTGTAGATTAAAGCTGTTGGAAATACTAACATTTTAAAATAAATTTTCAATATTTCAAACTCATTATTTTGATCTATTTATATTATTTCCACAAGAATATTATTGATTTTTTTGAAGAGTTACATAAGTTAATAATTATAAAATATACGAATTTTAATTGCTACTGCTATTCGTTTATATAATATCTTATAATTAATTGAGCAGTAAACTAAAATAATGAGTCATTTAATATTATTCAAAGATATTAAAAGTATTTGAAAGATCATCTATATAAGATTAACTGTTATATTAATTTCTTAGTAGATTTTCAAGTTTTATAACTAGGTCTTAAATTCTGAACGGAGCGATGAATTTATTGATCTTATAATGATGTGTTTTTTTGTGGTTGTGTACACGATAGGTTGTCGATAAAATGTTTTGATTTTGGATATAAAACTGGATCTAGTTTGTACTTTAAAGAGGTCAAGCTTAAAAATTCCCAGTACTTATTTTTAAAATTGGATATAACAATCAAAAAACTAAGGAAAAATTGTCATTTTTACGAAAATCTAATTTTTAACAAAATTGATTTTGTTTTTTTTATTTAATTCAAAAATAAATAACCATAGATACTTGAAATTTTCAGAAAATATTTACATTTTATCGTTTTTCAAATATTTAAACAATTTTTGAGCTATTTAAAGATATGAGAAATTTTCTAGTTTTATAAGTATTTATTTTATAAATGTTGATTAAAAATGATGTGCGTGATAGAAATGCTTGAAAATTTAATACAAAGCTCCATATAAGTTTTTAATTTCTTAAATAAAAAAATTATCGAAAATCTATATTCACAATATTTTTTTATATACATTTGAAATTAAGATTTTTATAAAATTCGTCAAAATCACAAAAAAATTGCAAACTAATTTGATATTGTCGTAGTTTGAAATTTACAAAATCTTTTCTTTTTATATCTAAGTTTTTAAAATTTAATACAAAATCTTTTATAAGTTGATATTTTATATTGAAACCATAAAATCTATAAAATTTATAAGGACAATTATTTTTTATAAACATTTTAATTTCCAATTTGGACAAAATTACTTATTTAAAGGATAAATAATTATATGTTAATTAGTTAATATTTTGTTAAAATTTAAAAACATTCGACTATACATAACTTAAACTATTATGTATTTTATATTATGATATATTTTACTATAAGCAATAAGATATTTGTTAATTTAAAATATTATTTATTCATAGATAATATTGATCTTTTTTACTGCTTTGCAGCATTTACTGTAAGATGATATTAAATATTGTGTTCAATAAGTTATAATATGGTATAAATATATATAATATATTATTATAGTTATTAAATACTAAGACTATAATGCAATATTTAAGGAAAAAATTGTACCAATCTACTCTAATACTAAAAACAAAATAAACGATTAATAGCTTTATCAAAAAAAAAAAAACATATCACTACACATTGAATATAATTAAATAAGAGGGTTGTATATACTTAATAAATCATCTAGTAAAATTATTTTGGCCAAGTGCATTAAATTATTTATGTTACTCTACTATCAAACTTTTAATAGATATTTAATTATTTGTATTGATCAAATAATATTTAATCGAATAACCAATTCATCAATTATAATTAAATAACTACTTTAAATATAATAGAAAATAATCATAATCAATTATAAATTATAATATTTTAAATATCGTTTTATGTATACCTTATGTATATTATACTAGTATCTATTTCGCTAACCTAAACTTTTTAGTACTTACAATTAAAATTTTACAATAACAAATATCCAAACAGAATGCAGTGATGACTGATGATGATAAAATAATAAAAATATCAAATAATAAACAATTTCTCACTTTATTTTAAGGTTGTGATATATTGTTATTAAATTATTTTAAATTTGAAAGCAATAATAAATCATTGGACTTAAATTACGATTCTAAGAGTAGATTAATTTATATGCTGCACTTGTGATATATTTAACACTATCCAGTATTCACAGATTGTACTTATTTTTCTTTCCATGTAAATGGAATAACGCTCCTTATGTTTTTGAAATATAACCTATAAGCTCAGTTTAGAATCAATTCATATAGACAGTAGAATAATAAAATTAATAATTTAAAATTTTCCGATCCAAAACAGTGTCTAAAGAAACTAATAAAATATTAAAATAAGATCAGGTAAAAACAACACCTATTAACTTCAGAAATTGCATTTCATTTCTAAAAAGAAATACTCTTTTCAATCAGTTCTAGTAATTAAAACTAACGTATCATTTAATTTTACAAAACACTGTTAGATCAACAAAAAAATAATTAACATTTTAGAAAAAAATGAGTGTATTACATTAAATGGATCTTTCGTTGAGTACAGTACATTATTATTTTTACCCTGTACACACACAAATCATATACAGCACTTATAAGAATTCTTATTTTTTGTTTATTATAAACATAACTGTGTATTGATCAATAAACCATAACTAAGTAAAATAGCTAAACAGAAAGAGCTTATCATAAGTCTCAAAGTCAACTCACGACCCTCGTAATCCACAGCTCAACTAAGTGATCCAAAAGATAAATATGACTTTGTTAAATGTTTATTGTCTTATCGTCAAATTAAACTAAACTATAGAATAATTTTTTTATGGAAAACATGTAATGGTTACTATGCCATATAGTATTTTATTCTCAAAAAAATAAATCTTTAATAATATTTAGCTATATTTTTTAGTGTATACATCCTTAGTATTAATTTATTCATTATAAAATATTTTTTCAATAATAAAAGATTTTAGACTTGAAAATATTTTATTGTTTTTTTTTTTTATTATTATCTCATAATATGTATAATTATGTAGTATATTATGTATAGGCGTAATCTAAGGCAAATATATCATTTTTCTCTATTGTTTTAGGCTCTAATTTATAATATATTTCAACACTTTTTTTTTTAAGCATTAACCTGGAATATTATTTATTTTATTTTGTGTGTGTGTGTGTGTGTGTCATATAATTAATATTTAGTCATTAAAATATTTAAATTATACTGATAATAGACGTAATTAAAATTTTGTTGATTATAACATGGATAATAGAATAAGGCGTGAAAAAAAATTTAGATATTTCTATATCTATTTCATGCTGAGAAAATGTGGTTATACACAAATCAAAGCCCATCGTTCCCTATCACGAATTCACAACCACTCAAATCACCATTACCCAGCTCTATTTATATGCGTAAAGTAACCACATTCTCTTGATGGCGAACGGAATACATCGTTAATATCTTGAAAGACAATATGTTTGTCTCTCTATCCACCATTAATCGATTCATTGTATTTCATTACCACAGCTATATAGAATATTGATAAAATAATTTCAGGTAAAATACATGTTTTTAATAACTGTTCACTTTTCTTATAATTTAATCCGACGTAATCGTATTGTTTTAATAAAATTGTGATAACGATGGATTTTAATTACTGTATCTATTCATAACTATCGCAAAGGTGACAAATAAAATAAGCTTGTTCTTAAACCACCGGGACATACATGTAGCTAAATTACATAGCTAATACGCCGTCTTACAATTTATGTTCTTCACAATAATAACGTAAAATACAGTTGGCGACATTGTTCATTAAATTTAGGTTATGTTAATAAAATATTTCATTTGAATAACACTGTTTACAAATATTTACTATCTTTAAAAATTGTGATTCACATTTTACATCAGAAAACCCAACATTTGATTTAGCGGTTTTCAAGTTATCAATAATTTGGCTCACAAGTGTTTATTTGTACTGTTTAATTTTTTTTTAATTTTATACACTTATACATGTAATTATTGTGTAAATTGTTTGTAAATTGCTATATAGTCAGTTACATAATTTTAGTTCTGTCAAATGCATACGTTAGCATACAAACATAATAATGCTCACGATGATAGTATTTGGGCATGTGATTGGGGTGAATTACGAACCACTAAGACTATAGATCGAAATGATTTTGATAAAGGTGACGAGTCTGACGAAGAAGTACAAGAACTTTCATCTGACTGTATAGTCACCGGTTCAATTGACGAAACTGTGAAAATATGGAGTTATGATAAGGCCACCAATCTCAATTTGGACAAAACTCTTAGTGAACATTCACTAGGTGTGATATCTGTTGCACTAAATTCAGATGCTTCGATTATTGCATCCAGTGCATTAGATTCTACATTAATGCTATGGAACACTACGACAGGAGAAAAAATAAAAACATTCTCAATTGGACCTGTCGAATTGTGGACTATTGCATTTTCACCAGATGACAATTACATTATTTCTGGTAGTCATTCTGGTAAAATTAATTTATTTGGTGTTGAAACTGGGAAACAAGAACAAACATTTGACACTAGAGGTATTTTAATGACTTTAAATTATAAAAATGTAAAATTAATAAAGTATTTTTATTTAATAGGAAAATTTACATTAAGCATAGCCTATAGCCCAGATGGTAAATACATAGCTTGTGGTGCTCTTGATGGCATCATAAATGTCTTTGATGTATTGTCCGGCAAACTTACTCATACACTTGAAGGACATGCTATGCCAATTCGATCATTATGCTTTTCATCAGATTCAAAATACTTATTAACAGGAGCAGATGATGGTCAAATGAAAATCTATGCGGTTCATCATGCTGAAGTATTGGGAACTGTATCTGGTCATGGTTCATGGGTATTAAGTGTGGACTTTTCTCCAGATTGTAAAAGCTTTGTTTCAGGCAGTGCTGATAATACAGTTAAAGTCTGGGATGTAGGCAACCGTAGTTGTTTAAATACATTAAAAGAACATAAAGACAAAGTATGGTGTGTGAAATATAACTCGATTGGAGATAAAATGGTATCAGTATCTGATGACGCGTCTATTAATATATATTCATCACTTTAATTATCTTACTAGTTTCTAATGTATATAATACTGACTAATTTTTATGTATTGATGTATATAATTTATTATAAACAATACACAACTGTTTTAAATGTTGTCAGTGTAAAAATTGTGAATTAATTTAAATCAATATAAGTAATAAGTATAAAACTTATTTAATTGCCTTAAACACATCTTTAGTGTTTTTCTTTTTAAATAGGTATCAATCAAAAAAATGAATCAATTTTACTTGAAGATAACTAACTACATTAAAATATTATATAAAATGAAAACTTCTGTTTTATAATTTATAGTTTATATATCTTACTTTACATTATTCACTTATTTATAAAAAATTAATAAAAAAAAAACTAGAGTTTTCATAAGACACACGATTTTATAAAAGCATTTAAGATTATACTCGAGTATACAATTATTGTTCTTGATAATAATTGTAAAAATTGTATTATAATAATAATATAATAATTATATGTTAAGATACAATAAAATGTATCTTATTTAACATGTTAACCGCCATATGATCGCCAGCGACCATAAATGAATTAGTTATATATTATTAACTTTTCTATGGCGCTAAAATAATGCACCAAAATAAGGACTATGGCTTAGTAGGAATTATTACAATTGTTTTGAATATAGTTACCTACAATATATTTATTTTTTTTTTAATTTTCAATTTTTTTAAATATTTAGTGTATACAAATTTGGAAAACATTGAAAAATATATTTAGCATATAACAAATACTTTTTGAATAACTGCCGGCGGTTAATGTGTTAATTTATGTTACAAAATGGTGAAACATTATTATGGAATTCAACACAAATAGGTTTTGCTGAATTATTTGAGCATGTTCAAAGATTTTTATGATAAATTGGCTACAAATGACAACATATTACTGCTTACTGGTGACCTTACTCCCTCCTTATCTATACCACTAAAAATGATTTAAGAGAGTCTCTACTTGGAATGTCTTACCTGCCTTCTCTATGTAAAAAAAAAAACCATCAAACATAATATGGCTATAATAACCCAATCAACCCTGTATTGTGTGCAAATGCAATAATTTAATTTAAAAATTCTGACATCCCAAATAATTTTAATATTTATAAATAATACTACCTGTATTATATTTTATCATGTACCTAATTATTTCTATTGCAAATTTTAATACTAATTAAGTCAATTATTATTATTAATAATTATAATAATTAATATATATTAATTATAATTTATATAAATGATATAATCATTTATTTATTATTTATTATTTTTTTATTATTTTTTTTTTTTTTTGACATTTTAAAATGATACCAAATAAAAGAATTGAAAAAAAAATACATATGCTTCTAAAAAATGTTATTTTTGTAGGACATTACATTTCTTAAATGATAAAAACACAGAATACGTCAGAATTATAGTTTTTTCGTAGACAATTTAATAATAAGAAATAATTATGAATAATATGAGCAAAACACCAAATATTTTGCCACAACAAATACTACCTATATATAATTTTGTTAATTGTTCAATATATATTTAACATATGTAATTGATATAAATACCTATATAATAATTTACATTTATGTCAATAACTATTGGTAGTTATGAATTTGGGGGCTATGCTCCACGATTTTTTAATCAATATTATGGTGAAGACTTAGGTCCCTTCTCAAAAAAAAAAAAATAGATTATTTGTAACTATATTTTCCCACAGAGTCAAAAAAGGTATCGATTATTGTATTAAAGTTTAACAGAAAATGGGTTATCAAATTTCTGAAAATTGTAATTAATTTTCAATCTATGAATATCAATAAAACGTAAATTTGACTAATTTTTTTTTTTTTATTTATATATTTTAGGCTTTAACAGCAATAATTATTAATCTGTAGTTGGTTTTTATTGTGGGGAAGGGTACTGTTTTGGAACACATGTATTGCTGTAAATGTAGCGAGAATTTGTCATTAAAACTCAGATGGGCACTCATCCAGAAGCTGGCAACACCCGCCAATGCTTGACCTCAGAACACCTGATCGACTGAGGCTACACTAATATTATTATGATTGTCTCTATACTTACGACTTACCTACTTAAATACTATATTATAGTTAAAGCGTTTACAAACAATTATTGGTAAATTTTATTATAATATTAACTAACACAGCTATTATATATTGTTTCATCGTAGATACAATACAAATTATTAACACAGAGATTTTTCGGTTTATGAATAATTAAATAAAAATTGAATAGTAAATCTTATTTTGTAAAATACATAGTTAGTAAGTATTTATTTAAATTTTTTTATTGAAAGTTAAAACCTAAGCTATTGGTAATTGGTATAGTTGATACCTACGTATTTTGACTTTAGAGTAGTATCTAATATTATCAATTAATTTTAGATATAACCACCATGCTTTTTATTTTATTTTTTTATAACTATAGGTACATTTTAATTATTTTATAAATTTTAAATAAATAAAATATAAAATAAGTACCTACTCTTTATAAATAAAAAATGTATTTATGCCAATGATTAGTCATTGATTTTAAAGGCAAGTTAGCAATTTCATGCAATTGATATATAAATATACAATATATACAATTTTATACAATGATCATAAATAATTTTGTTGTTCAATGAGTCATGAACGATAATCCAGGTTAAAAACAAAATCCATTCATTAGAATTATTAAAGCGGAAGAAATCATAAATTGAATGAAATTTTAATGCATAAATACGTAGGTAGTAGTTCATAGCTCATAAATAAACAATAGGAAGATGAAATATAATTTATTATATTATGCTCAAAATATATATACCTACCTAAACAGACTATTGCTGAGGCCCATTAAAATGTTAGTCAAAACTTTTCATGAATGAAATTATTTTTATGTCAGTAGGTAATTGTATTAACTTGATTTCTTTAGGGATATTTTTTTCGTTCATCATAGATATACATTATTTAGTTAATTTCCCGCTGTCACGAATTACGATTCTATCAAATTCCTTAAAGCTTTTTTTTCATTATTCATAGTACATATCTATTTCAAAAATAAAATAAATTTAAATTTAAGAAACAAAAATAAAATTATATTTAAATCCTTTATGAAGTGTGGAATATGAATAAATAAATCAATAATGATAAATATAATTAGAGTGAGATAATGAGATACTAATAAACAGAAATCTTGAAGTTCAAATTTTAATCAATTTTAGTTTTATCAAATTATCAGAACAATAACGATATTAGTTAATAGTTATAGATAACTATTCAAAAACTACTATTCATGGGATTTAAAATTTTTAAGTTTATTATAAATTCATGATAATATTTTTAACATAATGTTTAGTAAGGATGTAAGTGGAGGGGTCTGAACCCTCAACCACTCCCACAAAATTATTATTGTGTTTACTGGTACTTAACCATTTATTAATCAAAACTTGGGTTGAAAATTATTTTGAAGAGACAGGATCAGCTCTCATAAAGAAACCATCAGGAGCTCAAGGAACTCAATAAACCCTTCAGAACATTGAAGCAGTTTGAACGTCGTTTTAAAACAGCCCATTGGCCACTACGTTCTGTAAGAAAACAAACTATAACATTGAATCTCAAACGAACAACTGTCCATCGAATACTTTAAATAATTTGAACTTTTAACCTTAAAAAATTCAAATTGTGCAAGAAAGTGTATACCTAGCTAGCACTTGCCCAACAACAATTCTCCAGTTGAAAAGAAGAAATTGCTTTGATTCCCAATAATATGTTACTGTCATGCAAAACCACACCACATGGTTTTAGAAATGCATACAGAAGAACAGACACTATTTTACCGATATTACGTATTTTCCAAACTTGATATTTTAGTTTTTAAACTTTGAATGACATATTATGTAGGTACACAGCATTTGAACGTTTCCCGCAATAATATTGAAGATAATCTTTTTAAATGTATGTAAGAGTTATTTCTAATTTTCCCGTTTCTTTGGCTCATCCTGAATTAATAGTTAAAAAAATAATAAAATATACTTAGTAAATAGTACTTATATATAATGTCACGGACCCTGTAATAACACTATGATTTATATCACAGTTTCCGTATAATATTGAATATTATATTGAAATACTTATGTTCATACGGACCTGTAAATAAATCGATAATTCATACGCATGTATTCACGCCACGAGGTGACACATGTTTTGTGAAATGAATGATACGGACAATAAGAGGCCTGAACGGATGTTGCGTGCAATATAACATTTAATTAAGCAATTAAAACACAACTACACGCCGTGGACTTTTCAGAAAACATCGCTACTGTGAGAAGACGAGGCCTATCTCTATTCAAAAATACAAATCACGCAGTTAGGGTGCACATGTCATCACGAGTCACCACCTCCGCCGCCGACTCTTATAGTACGAAGACCATTTAAAAGGGCAACATGAGTCAGAGGTCATAAAACGGCTGGGGATATTCAAGACGCTTAGAGGCAGGTTATAACACCACTCACTGTTTTGGTTATTAATATCAAAGATTTACAATATATTAAATAATATATCAGAACTATCATTTCCGCGTTGATATATGAATCGGCGTTGTTCAACAGGACGTAACAATAATACGATCTAATGACTAATAGATGGTCACCGCTAAAAATCGTTCTTGATATACAATGATCTATCATTGAAATCATTAATTTAAATTTAACAAATCTATTACATTCAATTACGACAGACACTATCAACACCTATTTTAAAGCAGAACGGTTAGGTAAATTTTTGTTTTCACCGATTATGAAATAAACTCAGAATTTTTTTTTACTGTTGCCCCTACAAACGACAAAAATCAGTAATTGGATTTAATTTGCTATTAGAAATCACGTTAAATTTTGAAAACACAGTTTGCCATTTTTACTGCATCAAAAGGTTGCGAACTGATTACATGTATAAAATATAATAATAAGACAAACCTATACACGTATGTCAATGTCTCTAATAAATTCGATGAATCTAAAACTATCTCTTCAGATAATTTAATATTAAAATTGTATTATCGTTTATTACAGGGATAAGCCACTCAAAATTACTAGAAAACCAGTTTTTAGAAAATTAAAATCTTACAGGCCAAAACATAGAAAGCAAACAAAAAAAGTCATTCAAAATATGCATTTATTTTGTCTATGTGAATTTTAAACTTTAAAATTATATGATGTAATTTTAAAATGGGTTAGATAAAAAAGGTTCGCGAGCCACCAGATGCCCACCACTGGTTTAGGTATATTAAAATTAAGTGTGTATAACAACTTAAACACGTAAGTATAAAGTAACCTATAATCAAAAGAAGTAGAATAGTGAATAGGATGTATTATTTAAAAATTAATTCAATACATTTTAAAACAAATCTTTTTGAAATTTATAATTCTTTTTAACTACCTACAGAGCACAGATATGTACTATAAATAATATTAGTAGGTATACATCAGTGATTTTAATATAACTATTGTCTATTACATAATATATTACAATATATTTACATACATCTTACTACAGTTTATATTCTTCCAAGTTCCAGATTATACGAGAATAATCTTAAAAATTGTATACTATTTGTGAACACTATAAATTTGTTTAAACTACAAATTAGTAACTACAAAGAACAATTATTAAATTTTTAAATAAAATAACTCAAATGACTTTATTACTGATGTTGTCAAGGAGAATCGAATCTATAATGGTTAGGAACAGCTGATAAGGGCCTATTGATTGTATGTTTGATAAGGTTATCACGCCGCGTTGCCTGTATTATATTGAATGGCCATAGTGTGCTACCGTGTAATACAATTAATACATAATACATCACAATTCTTAATCTTTTTCCATTTCCACACGTTCTCACTTCGCTCCTCCTACGATAAATTACACTGCTACAGGTCGTGTTTGTCTAATGACCACTGCGGAGGACTTAGAATTGTCGGATTCAGACAAGGTACAACCTTGGAGCACAGACAGCGGCATGGAATCGATGACCGACAGTAATAAGGATGTAACACCAATGTCAGAAAACTTCGATGACGACGAAGAAGTTCGTTAATACACTTTTATAAAATGTACTTTACCTTATTCGAGTTTTCTTTTATACAATATCTTTGTCACCATGTGTAGGATGAAACTTTAGGTGAACGTTTGTGGGCGTTAACAGAGATGTTTCCAGAATCTCTAAGAAAGGGCACCGAAAAAATAGTTAATACCACTGGTAAACTCATCGTAGGTAAGATATTGATCTCACACTTACCATGAATTATTGAATAATCCAAAATCGTTTACAGACACTTACTTATTTGCGTGTACTTCGACATGGTATGTCTCAACAACAGCGGCTCTGTTACTTATGCCCGTATTATTTGAAACTGAACGCGTACAAATGGAAGAAGCACAGAAAAATCATTCAAAACAAGTACTTATCTTAATAATTTATTGATTTTATTATTAAATTTAATAATACATTTTTGTTTTATTTTAGCTGTTGCTAGGTCCAGGTAGTGCAGGCAACTTGGGTGGAGGAACTACTATGCTGCCCAATTAATATATTTTTGTCGTATATTATATTTTTAACCTATCTACCTTAGTTATTACTTTGCCGAAATAAATATTTGTATTAAATTAATTTAGTCTTGAAATTTTTTTTTTCATTACTTTTTATTTTTTACTAGGTATAAGTAAATTTAATTTAAAAATACAATAAAGACACTTAAAAAATTATACTTTTTATGAAACTTTTTTACAAATCTGAATAACAGATAACTTAATAAGTATGTTATTTAAGTGTGTTTGAGTAGTCCTTTATGTATATCAAAGCTAATTTAATACGTTGCATTAATAAAAATGTATATTATAGTTTAAAGTTTTAATTCCTTTCACTTACAGTAAAAATTAATTTCACCACATTTTTTTCAAAAAGACAAGATTAATAAGTACAAAATGGATTTATTAGTAAGTACAGATTTTTATTGGATCAATTTAAATTTAATTAATAAGATATTAAAACTTCATGAAAAATGTTCATAGTTATTTAAATCATACTTATTATTACCTATTTTGGTATAATTACATACTTTCTATACTTCACTAATTTGTAAATATTTTATCATTTCATCATATATACATTTTCAAACCAAGTTGCAGTGAACAAAGCTACATGTCTCATGTTATTGTATAAATTCTTTTTGAAAGCTCTAAATTTTACAACAAACTTTAGAGAAATGTAGGTACCCTGATCTTGTTCCAACACCCAAGCCAATAATTACTAAGTATAGCACATGGTTGATAGCTGCTCAATATTATTGTGAAGACTTCGAAAATACAAAAAATTAGATCGAGAATTTTCTATTGCTATTGGAAAAGCTCAAAATATTATACAAAATGAAACATTAAAAAATAATATAATTTATATCCCAATTAATTTTAGTTTTATTGCACAAACAATAATAAAATAAAAAATATGTCTGTAAATGATAGTATACAAATTGCTAAATTAAAGATAGAAAACTCGTAGGCAGACAAATAGGAGATGAAAAATGTATGCTATTACAGATAAAAATCCAGGCTATATTGATTTCAAAACATTCAATGAAAAAATAATGATTGGTAGAAATTTTAACAAAAATTTGGAATTATCGCCTTTAAATATGCTCCAAATTTCATCGGTCAATGTGGGACGATCATTTAACTGTTTTAAAAATATTTTGAGACCTAATTTAAAAGAAATAGTAATTGTTCAATGCAACACATTACATCATTTTGATACTTTTAATGTATTTTTTACATAAATTTTACTTTTACAGAAATTAAAAATTTTTTCCTACATATTTTATAAATTATGTACATATTTCTATATTTTTATTACATATAAATCCATGTTTCCTAATTTTTCAAACATAAAAAAATATTTTTTTCTTTAAATTATTGTCTATAAAAAATTCAACAATATTGTATAAGATTTTGTGTAAATTAATTAAACAATTATTGTTTTCACAGTACACATATCAACATTTTTTCAATTATTTCTAGTTTATGTTTTCAAAAAATTATTATACTTTAAAGACATTTATCATTTAAATTTCTAACACGACTGTTTTTACAAAAGCTAGATAAGAGTTGAACAAAAAAAAAAAAAAAGAAAGTTGGTTTTCTTATAATTTACTATTAAACTATTTTATACAAGCAATTTTACTATTAGTTTTTATAACACACACTTGTGGAAAATTAACTGTAAAAGAGAAACAATAGACTTAACAGCCATGGCTTCTGGTTTGTCTGTTTATTTTAGAATCCAAGAATTATAAAATATTTTACAACTACCACTTGTTATGTGTATGCATATTTAGTTATTGATTAAAATAAATATACATAGTATTACTTAGGACTGTAGTAAAATAATAAAATATAGTATTAATATAATTTATTTCTTAAGTAACCATTTGTATTTATATGAATTACTGTAAATCAAAATGTGGTTATATTTATTATAACTTTGTAAATACTGTGGTTAACATATTACTTTTATCACCACTAAATACATTTTAATTATTTAAATATAATTGACTGATGTTATATTGAAATGGTAGGGGATCTAATTGAAACTTTCAGTTATTTATAAAAAATAATACAGTTTTTAATTACAATCATTCAAAATTTTAAAATAACCAAGTATACGACTAAAATAAAATTATTAACTGAGCAGTATTGAAATTGTACGTGTTTCTAATTTATTACTGTATTCTATCACAACACTGGTATAGCTGTATCTATTCATTTACCAACATTAAACTATAGCTGCTTTTCAAAAACCAATTTATGTGTAGAGATATTATAATTACATAATATTAGCCACAATGTCATAATATTTTATTAAAATACCTATTGGTTTTGTTTAATGCTGTAGATTTAATAAATAACAAAGATGAATTTTAGACTATGTTTATAAAAGAAACTAAAGGGAAAATATTAGGTTGAATTAAGACAAGCTTTTAAATATTTAAATGCTATTTAAATTATGATTTAAGCATAATAAAAGGTAAATTGATAAGATCATAAAATTTTGTTTTAAAAATCAATAAAAAATTGCTTAAGAACTTTCTTATTACCATGTGCAAGTTGGCTGAATTGGATAAATAAATGAATCATTATGAAATTAGAACAGTATGGTTGAAAATACAAGTTTCTTTCCAGAAATTCCTAAACATATCTTAAATTATGAAAATTATGATTTTGAATAATAATTTCAAGAATTATCTATTAACAATAATGATGACAGCGACAAAAAAGAATAAAATAACCAATGGAATAAATTGTTTGAAATGTGATGCATATTATTTGCATTGTGTATTTTAATTATATAAAAACTATTATGACAATCTTAAATTAATTTTGTTATACATATGTTTGTATTTTATTGTGTAAACATATTTGGTATGAAACAAAACAAAAAATTTTTGTTCAGATCATTTATCAAATTTATTAATTAGTAAATAATTTAAAAATACAACAAAATATCTTATAAGACAAATTCTTAAGTAAAATTGTTGATTCAAACAATAATTATTCATACTTAATTTTCTAAAAGACTTAAATAGACTTAAATCTTTATAATATACATAAATATATTTATATTGTCACATTATTTCATAGATAACATTTGTTTAAGTTTTTTTTTTTTTAATTAATCCATAGTCATGTTTGAACTAAACATTTCATCTAAATTTGGAGGTTCAGTATATTTTATTTTCTTGTTTTGTTTCTGATTTTTCCTTAAATATAAAAATAAGAAAGTATATTAATTTTAAATTTCCAGTATAAAATAAATAAACAATTATTTGTATTATTACTTATTTCCATAATGCTGCAAGAAACTTTTTGAAATTTGATGAATGTCTATGCAATGAAGATTTCGTTCTTCAGGATTCCAAAACAGTGTATTACATGTTTCAACGAAACATTTAAACTAAAATTAGGTATAAAATTACTATCAAAATATTATAATCAAGCAATATACTTTAATACCATAGGTTTTTTAGCAGAGCAGGCTTTAAAAAAGTTGTCATGTACTTCACTCAAATGTAAATCTAAGAGATGTGCAGATTGTAATAATTTACGACAGTAAGAGCAAGTATAACGATGATTTGAATTATAATGTAAATCGTAATCAGTCATTGATGTGAAAACTGTAGCACAACCATCCACATTGCAAAAAAAAGTTTTAACCCTGAAATTTAAATTAGTTATTATCAAATTTAAAATGTTATAAAATAAAAACTATTGGTTATACCTTGGTTTGTCAGATTTTTCAAAAATTTCAAAAGGTCCAACTCGTCTATAGATTTTAAATCTATCGTCGAATTTTTTAAAAATGCCGTCGTCCATATTCTTATGCCCTGTGCCACGAGCAAGTAAAAGCTTACATTTCTCATTGCTTTCCATATCCATGATTACAAGTATTTCGCTATTCTACTCAATTCTTATATTATTAATTAGTAATTAATAATTACAATTTAAAATTTTAAGAGTTATTTTATTTATTATAGCATAAACAGTAAAACTAAACACAAACAATTAACAAACTATTTAGTATTTACTAGTGTTGGGCGAGTATTGGTTTTTTTGAAGTCAAGTCGAGTCGAATCGAGTTTCAATTACATCGAGTCGAGTCGAGTTCAAAATTCGAGTACTCGAAAAATGTCGAGTACTCGAAAAAAGAGTCGAGTATTAGACAATTCCAGAATATTAAAAAAAAAATCACCCAAGTCGGTATATCCGTTCTCAGCGATCTTTCATACATGCAGCAATTGATATTTAGGTTACTATAGTTACTATAATATAAAGTTTAAACCATCAACCATCCTAGAATTCTTATCGCGAATACTCGTATTTGGGTTCTCTCAGTTATTTATAGTTTCAACATTTAATAATTATTTTTACATAATTATACTATATAGTGAAACACTGAAACAAGTACTCGATTCAATTCGAGTATTTGGTTCAAGTCGAGTACTCGTATTTACGAATACAAAATTTTTTTAGTCGAGTCGAGTCGAGTTCAAGTACTCGACTCGAAAATTTTTCCCAAAGTCGAGTACTCGAACAACACTAGTATTTACTATTTATTTAATATTTTAAGTTTTAAGTGTTTTAATTTTTAACCATGATTTCGAGAAAAGTACCCAAAACCCTAACTAATATTACCCGGTAATCGGTATACCATAGAGTAATATTATTATATGCGGTATACTAACTAACATCTAACCACTTACTATATAGTTAAGTAGTAAGTACTCTTTGGCATTTGACTTAATAAATATTTAAAATTATTCTGTGATAACATTGCTTAAAATATTCTGTGATAAGATTCAGTAATTTGTGATAACACTAAATACAATAGAATAGGAGGGATAAAAAAAAAACAAAAACATAACACTACCGTCCGGCGTCCAGTAGCACCAGTCAAACACAATATACAAAATTACAAAAGTGTAAAATGATAATGAATAACGATTATTAACAAATGAATCTAAATATTAAATAATAATCTAGTATTCATAAAGAGTATGGAACATTCATTATTTTATTGCAGAATATACAAATTTCTAATTTAGTACCAGCATTACAGTCATCACTTGTATATTGTTTGATGCTATAACCATTATAAAATATATTTTTTATTTTATATTTTAAGGCAATATAGAAAATTAAAAATTACTTGTTAATATTTTTTTAGATTTTAACTATAAGTTATTTGTACATTGTAGAACAATTAATATAAATACATTTCTTACTTTCTATAGTCATAACTTATAATTTATTGTGTTTGCTAGTGATCATTAATCTTAAACCAACATGTCTGGTCATGATGAATATGTCGATGTAATGACATCCAGGTTAGTGTTTTTTATATTAGTAAATTAAAATATTTCCAATTTAGATTAAATCAAAAACAATAAAATATCAAAAGAAAATAAATACTTATAGATATTATAAATATTAATATTATATTAAATTGTACTATTTTAGTCCACCTCTTACAACTAAAGCAACCTTGCAAAGTTCAGGGATAAAGAAAAAAAAAGTAAAAAATAATAAAGACAATCCAGGATCAAGTGATGAAGAACGATGGTTAAAAGCAATCGAAACAGGTAAATTGGATGAAGTTGATGATGAATTAAAGAAAATTAAAAAAAAGGATCCAAAAATGATGACCGCTAGACAAAGAGCTATGTTTGATAGAAAGTCTGACAAAGAATTCACCGAAGAACTCGTTGCATTGCCTTCAGGTCTTTAAATTTAAATTATTACTATTCCAATCAAATTTCTTAATAATTTCTTAATTATAGGATATCGGGAAAAAGTATTAACTCCAGAAATGCTACAAAAAAAAGCTATTAAATCACAAAAAAGAAAACAACAAGCAGATGAAAAAAGGGAAAATGATAAAAAACGTACCATGGAAAGATTATTGAAAAAACATGAAAGCAAATCTAAAACAAATGCTAAAGGCCGGATGGCAAGAAAGGCTGTTAATAATATTATTTATGTAAATAAAAATGACAAAGTGTCTCTACTATTTCCAGAAGGTGTCGAATTTCCTCTCAAAAAATCATTAATTAAGTATGTTTCATCATTTAAATAATAATCATATTATGTAAATGTAATTATAATACCTCATACTTATAAAAACATTTTTAATTATTATTCAATGTTTATGTTCACATCCATTTTTATAATTTTACTCTAGAACCTATTAGGTTACACCCTATGCATTTTCAGACACTATTTCTATTTTAATACATATTATTTATAAAATGTATTTTTGTTTAACTAATACTATTTATTAATATTTTTTTAAATAGGCCTCCACCTGCTCAAAAAATGTGTGGTGTAGATGGATGTGAAAATCCTAAGAAATATTCGTGCTCTCGAACAGGTTTACCATTATGTAGCTTACAATGTTATAATGCAAATCAATTAAATATTTGGAACACTGTATGCTGATTAAGCCTTCATATTTTTGGTATATACTATATATTATGATGTTTATTAATGTGAAAAATACATTAGTTTGCTTATTAACTATTTAACAATGAAATGCACTCAAATGAAATAATTAATATATAAATTCAGTATTGTACAATATACAATTATTATTATATGTTAATATTCCCAACAGATGGTCTTGTTGGTGGTATCAATTTTTTTAATTCGGAGTCAATTTTTCGGTCAACCATCACTTTCATCACAAATTCACCTTGTTGAAATGGTTTAAAGGTAGCTGGTACTATAACATAGCTTTTCAATGTAGACACCACAAATGTTTCTGAGATGACTTGTTTTGCTTTGAATACTCCTGAACTGCCTTCAGGTTCAGTACACAAAAAATATTCAGCTCCTAATGTTTCTTTTTGTTCACAATCGTTCTAAAAATATATGTTTGTCTTTGATAATTTCAAAGTTTGATAATAATAACTGATAAAAATAATAGATGAATTTACTTTGAATAAAAAAAATGCAACATATAATGGATTTTTTTTGTTTATCCGTTTTATTTTTAATATTATTTTAATTGTAACAAATAAATTTTCTTCTAAAATTCCTGAAAATTAAAAATATATTATCAACTAATTTCTATAAGGGTTTGTTTTGAAAATTGACAAACTTCTCTTGGTCCAAAATTAATATTCTTATTTATCATTATATTTTAAAGATGTAAAAACTATATTGTATTTTTTGTAAATATGTGACCATTGGGTTCTGTAAAAAATGTACCCTGTGGTCCGGATGCTAGTTGCTATCTTCTAATAGATACAATAAAATACTACCTGTAGGAAATTTGAGCAAATATTGAGGATTTGTTTCAAACATGTCTAAATTATTCCTTGATCCTCCTGCATTTAAGCCATATATCCAACTACCGTTAATTGTTAATACTTCTGGGAACTCCTGTAAGTGAAATAATATTTTATTTAAAATTAAAATAATTGTAGCAAGTATATATGTATTGTGTATGCATGTTAAAAGTATATTTAAAAATGTTTATTTGTTTACTTGAGAACTATTAAAATCATCATGTATAGATATTTTATTGTTATGTTCTTCACAAACATCCACTTGTTCAACCTAATAAAATATAAAATTTAATTGATTATTCAAATATATTATGGATTAACCTAATTATTTTTCTTTATTTCTCTGAGACCAGAATATTTAAATACTGTGTGGTATGGTGATAACCTTTTGTAATTATGTTATTAATGTATCATAGTGACAAAATTAATTTAACGTAAATACACAATACCTATCAGTATCATATAAAATTAATTGTTTAAACTATTTTCTATGTTGTTTAAAGTAACCTATTTTAATTTTAAATATAATTTTAACTAGAAGACTAATTACTATTTAAAAAATACAGATTTAGGATGTAATTATAGTTTTCCTTCACAATGAATAATGATTTACATTCTAGATACTTACTTACTAATATTTTTATTGTACTTTTTTTTCACTTTAGTTAAAGCCTCCCCCAATCATAGTATTTGCATTATTTTATATTATTTAAATTATAAATAAGTTTTAAATAACTATCACCCTAGTGTCTGCTAATTTGAGTCTTAATTGACTCTAAATCAGGTTGTGACTTGGTGACTACAATATTTTATATATTCACTTATAGAATTAGAATTTTGTAATAAAAATGTGAAATATTTTATTAGATATTTAAAATTGTTTCGATTGTAATATTTAATATAACTAGTAGGTTACCCAACGCGGCTTGGCACGCGAAATTTTAGTATATTAGGTTTTTATACAAAATAATAATTTATGACAACAATTTTATTATAAAACTTCTCTATAAACTACATTTGATGTATTTCCAATTAGATGCCAAAATTATTAAACTTGTGGACGTACTGACTCTGAAGCATGTCATATAAAATTGTCCATGTGAAAAAGAGTCTAAATAAACTAAAGATTCACGCCTTAATAGCACTTACTCATCAATGTATTCCTATATACAATTTACATATATAATTTTGTTTTTCGTCGATTTCAACCCCTCTAAATCAAAATTTTGAAAAATCCTTTCTTAATGCACGGTGAAATTATAATATTTATCTACCCTCAACATTTCAAATCGATAACTCTAATAGGTTTGGCTCTTACATTGATTATGAATCAGTCACACAGTCTCATTTATATATATACAGTTTTTATCCATGTAACTAGTTTGTTAGACTAATCACAAATAGATGGTGATAATAAATTCAGATATGGGGTACCTAGGAAATTTATCGCAATTAAAAATAATAATAAATTTTAATTTTATTATTTTGAAAAATTATAGTAATAAATTAAAATAATATTATAGAACTTTCATAGATATCAAAATCAAAAAAAAAGTTGAATCGTTTGAATTTATATACCTAACCTTATACAATTAAGATTAGTTATCTATAAAATCACAGCATTGTGATTTTATAGAATTTTTATAAACGGTTGATTTCTAGACATATTTAAAATTTAATCAAAAAAGAGAAAAATATGTTCCTATCCACTGATTCTAGTATAACATTTTTATAACTAGATTTTTGAATAATATACCCTTGTTCAATGTTTATGTTTAGTTTATTTATACAATGTAGTCGAATGCTTAAATGGATAAAAAAGTTTTTGTATAAAAAAAAATCGATTTAAAACTTTTATCATAATATATGTTAAATAGGTTGTGATAGTATTTGTATAACATTCAACATTCTATATCAAACAATGTCATCTACCCTTGACATCAATTATCGTTGAATTCGTTAAAATAATAATTTGGTAAAGGTTGATTAAAATAATAATGAAACATTAGATAATATAATTTTATTAGTATAAATAATAATAACTATGTAAACGTATAGCAATTAGCAAATAGTACTAAAACGGATAAAATTTTTCAAAATCAATCTCAATTGTAATTAATTATAAGGTTGATTTTTTTATGGGAGTCCGTCAAAAAAATATTAAAAACAAGATCCTTTTATAGTTACAAATGAAGCTACCAATGCAGTTTAAAATTAGTTAAATTTTTGAGCAGGATTTCGTCTTTAATAATAAGTACTTCATGCAACACATTTGGACTTATTCGACGACACACCGGTTGATAACCACGGTACTGTAGTATATAATAATTGAGAGCATTGGGGTGCTAACAATCAAATAACAATTAAATAAAGTTAGAAACTAATTTTAGGAATTTAAAAATATTATTTATTATTTATACTTTAATATATTGATATATTATTAAAATTATACATGTACATAGTATTAATTAAAATTTAAAAATATGAAAAAAAAATTCTAAAAATGTTTGTATAATATTCTTACATAATATAAAAATATATAATGTCGGTAACTGTTTAAAATAATAATAAATTTTGTTTTGCACATTAGAGTGAACTGTAGTAGAAAATAAAATAATCTCGTATTTCATAACATGTAGGAGCACGATAAAACAAACAATGAATGATACAACTAAATTAAATTAAACTAAAAATAAATTTATACAAAATAATTATTGGCTTACGGATAATCGACACTCTACACTTTACTACTATATTATTATAATATTTGCTATGATGATTCATTAAAGGTATATTGAATATTTTTATAAAAAGTCTATCTTTGTGAATTTTTACTCAATATTAATACTTATACGTGTAATTTTTTTTTCTAATATGTTATAGGCTTATAGCCTTGTCAAAATTTTTAGAACTAACCAAAAACACCTTTCAAAAAAAAATTAATTCCATTCAATCAATATATTTTTTATAAATCGCATATTGTTTAAACATCGCATTATCATTTTTTTTTTTGCATTAAAATGTTTATTATATAGCGCCGATACCTACCTTTTCGGAATTTTCGGATTATAGCATATTATTATAATTTACAGTAGGTAAGTAAGTACCTATGTTATTAATCATTATCAATAATAGCAATACACTCTTACTAAAATACATAACCGATTACTCATTTAGTTAAGAATTTTGCTTTTGCTAAGTTTAAAAATGACAATTTAATTTTGTTTAATAATGTACCTATTTAACCTATTGAATATATAAATTCAATATTAGATTATCTATTTTATTACACCGTCGTTTGTGTGAATAGAATGAATAGAAGCGAGCTCCTACGTTAAAATTCAATTCTACCGTTAAAGGTATAAATTATAAATATTTTTAGAGGTGTAAAAATGTTGTTTGAAATATAAAATTTAAGAAAATTGATCTACAGGCTATGATATAAAAAAAGTTCGTAAGAATATAAGGGAAAAATGACACTAGAAAACAAAATAATAAAGCTATAACGCCTACAACTATCAATGATGAGTATTATAACTTGAAAACAAAAATGTATAAATACATTTTGAACCTGTATGCGTCACGAAACGAATTTTTAGGTAAGACAACATGTTGTGCAGGACTTAAGGGATGGAAATGCAAGAGCCATCTGCAACGTCGTGCCGTATTTCTAGTATTTCTAGTTGCCGGCACGACCGGGCTAACACACGTTTATTTACTCGTCGTCATGATATTTCCATGTCTGCGCCTTAAGCCCCGGGCAACCGTGCAGCCGATGCCGACGTATTCTGCGCACCGTCCCGTGCAAGCGCCGCGCCATCATCGCCGTTCGCGGATTTGCCTGGCAAGTTATCTGGTACGCGGTGAACCGGAAAATCCGGCGGGAAATCCCGCGGCACCGTGATGGTTGTAGTGCCCGAACGCGTCATCGGCGTGGCGGTGGTCGCCAGCGCGCGCGACCCGGCCGCCGCACCACGCCGACACGTCCCGGCGGCGGTCCGGCGACAACGATGTCGCAGACGCCGTTGACGGCGAACGGGCGACGTGCGATCCGAGTGTCACATCCCAGTGTCGCATGTGCCGCCACTGGCGACGGCGTCGCGTGCAAGGCACGCGCACCACACGCCGCCGTCGTCACCACGCGGCGGCGGCTACTGCGCGATACCTTATTATTTTTGAATCACAATACGCGTACTCATCGCCGACCGACTAACCGCGCAAACGTCTGCGCGCCGATCGCCGCCGCCCGCTCAGCACACGTCACCTAACGCGACGACTGCGCCCCGTCGCACTCGACAACCGATGTCGCCGCAACCACATCAAGCCAGCGGTGCACCGCATTCATTTATAATAGACACATCGCGTGTTCGCCGTCCACGCACGCCTCTCTGTGGGTGTGTGTGTTCACGAATAGAGTTTCTGTTTGTACGTGGGCTGAAGAGCACTTGACATCGATTTTCGATGTTTTTCGCACAGGTATATTTCGATATTATTGTTGTGTCGCGCGTGTATGCGAATTACACGTTTCGTGATATTATATTATATATTTTATGACTAGGTCCCGGTTTCAAAAGCTCGAAAAAATGCCATTGTAGCGCAATAGGTAATGGTTCCGTTAATAAATTATTAAAAAGAATTTCTTTAGGCGCACAAATACGCGTGAAATAATGAAATGAGATACGAAACTGCGGTTCGATGTAAACAGTGATCACTGTGTACTTTTTTTTTCTGGGGGGGGGGGGTATTGGAAATTAATGCAATTGCGATGTATCTCTAATTTTCCAATTAGTTGTCATTTATTTAAATAGCGGAAAAACACCACGTCGGGTAATCGCTGAAAATAGATAAAGACGTTACTTAGCATTTGTGTATAGAATGGTTGATGACATTTTTTGGAATACCTAATAGTTATACATAAAACAAATGTATTTTTAAATCAATATTTCTTTAAATAATATTTTTAGTTTTATAATTTATACGAAAAATGTTTGTACAACGTGTTAACGTATTAACATTTACACTAAAATATTATAAAATTATATAAAAATGATAAAAACATTAAAAACATTAAAAAAAATGTAAAGTAAAAAATTTTTCTTTGAAGTATCTGTTACACGAAACGAATCATGTACTTGGAATGTAGAGTACCCAATAAATAATACAATTTGCATTCGGGTCCTATTTATAATGTACTTGTTTACGGGTATATCGTATTAATATTAGTCGGAGAGATCGATGCCCGGTATGTCAGACTGTCAGTTAGCTTTTAACGTTAAGAGTTCAAGTCATTTTGTTTCTCATTATCTGAACTTTATTTTTATCTTTGTTAGCTGCGTCCTATCCTGTCATACTTGTTAAGATTTTTTTTTTAATAACACAATTAGACTGAAGAAAAAATTTATCAGTTTATCGTATGACAAAAATCTCCCGAAAAAATATCGAGATATTAATAGACATATATAAAATATTGCATCTACACGTGACGAATGTGTGATCTATAGATTAATATTTAATCGGAGTTGCTCGTAATTTAGTATTACAACATAAACATGTTTTTTAAAATTTTATAAAGCACCTATTTTATACATTTTTTATTTTTACTAGTAATAATTTTAGTTTATATTTTGATAAATATCGAATGAAGTAATGTATAATTAATAACAAAATATATACAAGATATGTTATATATACTTATATAATATATTATTGTTCATAATAGTTTTAATATATTTTATATTATAAATAAATTCAATCTCAATGTAGTGATGGGGAAATGTCCCACGAAAAAACGGATCAGATGAACAAATAGTGATGCGAAAATGTTTCGGTACAACTTAAACCTATCAAATGAATACACGATTTTGAGACTTAGGCGACTCTATTACATATTGCCGTAACCACTTACGTGCTGGATAGTTACGGATGATATATTTATACTCCATAAGTATTTCAATTTAAACTTGATTCTTGTTTCAACAAATATTCGACAGAGGCAAAGTGGATATTACATTTTTTAATTAATATTCACTAACGGTTCATTAAAAAAAAAAGTGACCCATTACTCAACTTATTTTTTTAATAATATATGTGTTGTAACGTTACTACATGTTATGTAGTCATACAAAATTGTAACATACTGTATACTTACATTGTTAAATTGTTTATCATTATCGCACTTTTGATATAAAATAATTATTGATATAATACAATGTTTTGCAATACAGGCACGCGTTCGTTTCGTGTAAATTCGTATAATATTTAACATTAGTGCACGCATGTTATAACAATATCATGTCCAGCTCGCACGCAAAAGCGCCTTGGTGACGGCGATGTCTAGATATTATTTAGGTATTTTTATACCATATAATATATTGTACTAAGATTTCTCACATAACATAACCAATCTATTCGAGTTACCACATGTAAATCAGATTGTCAGCGATCTGTGCACCCAGTTGTATATGCATTTATAGATCTCAAACGAAATGTTATTTAATTGTGTTTTATTTTATTATTATTACTATACAAGTACTTTGTACCTGTACTAAAATGTTAACTGTTCAGGTGTTCCTGTACATAAAATCGCCGCAGTAGGATTATTTATCGACAAAAACCTTGACCCGTCTTATATGATGTGCACGACGGTCAACGATACACGCATATCACGCGTACACGCTATGACGTTTTCGGGATCTACTACCATCAATTACTATTGCTATCATTACATATTTATAGACGTATATGAAATAATATGCATTTAGGTACAATTATTAAAGGATAGAAATTCCAGGTGGGTTAAAACCGTGTTTGAAAGTCTACATAAATAAACTCGTGGTAAGCAGGGTATCTAATTATATAAATTATTTTTTTCTATTATATTTATTAAGCTTTAACTGCGTAAGTCAAGAGTTAGTTGTGTTTGTGTATTAACGTCAATACCTTATACGCTGCGGTAGGTTTTATATACTACACACTACTTTACTTACACTTTATAAGTTAAATTTACCATGTAACAATAATAACAATCAAATTATAATATTTTAGTTAGTTGTCGTTCGTCATTACATTTTCGTTGTCAAATCGTTATTAGATAATGACATTTGCCTCGTATTAATGAATGATAGTGTTACTCTGAATTACCCAAAGGTTTAAAACTACCTTTACGTATATATATATTTTATGAACAAAAAATTGTAACTACTTAACAGATACTAAATTATTAGGTATTGAATCCATTTACGTATAACTATTGTATTATAAATAGTTATTTACTTATAATATATAAAATATAATTTAAATTATTTCATTCTCAGTTACCATACAATTCAATCGTTTATGTATGATGTATGTTTATTGGGGATTGTCACCATATTAATAGTTACTTAAACTATATCATAATTTGATAAATAATAATATATTATAACAAGAAATGTTTGTGAAATACTGGAAAAACCAACAATAGGTGACATCAACGTACCTAAATTGCGTATCCATTACGCCGTATTAATATAATTTTATTATTAAATTGCATATTTTTCTCTTAAAAATCTCATCAGTGTGAACACTATGTATAAACATAATACACACTGTAATTCGCCTTAATTTTAAATAATTAATAAAAACTTATATAGCATATACGCATTTCTATTAATAACAGGTACATATTTACATTTTAAACATACTAATATAACACAGTACTTACATCGTTTATTTATTTAATACAATATTCTTGCTATAGAAAAGTAAAATATTTTAATATTTCATAATATTAGAATCATTGTAACCTATGTAACAACTCGTTACTCTAAAGACCCCATAGACATTAAGTTATTATTCGTTGTATTTTTGTTATAATTAAAATATGGTAATTTTGTGTATGTGAAAATACTTTGTTTTACAAGATTGTAGAAAAAGGTAATTTAGATTTAAAAAACAATAGTTTATAAAGCTACTAAGGATATCATGATTTACCACTTGGGCAGCAACAAACATTTAAGTAGCGCAATAATAATTTAACTACTTAAGGAAACACATAATAATAGGCTACAAACATAAAAATAAACTTTAACACTTAAACTAAAAAATATAATATCAGTTTTTTAAATTAATTAACATTTTGAAAAGAAAAATATTTATAAATATAAAATAACACTTATATTTATTTAAATAATAAGTGTATAATTTTAAACCCTTAAATTTACAAAATTTAATTATTATAAGTGTTATTTTTTTTAAATGTTGATGAATTTACATTAACTTAAATTTTATTTATAAGCTTCAGTTTTTTTATTTATGTACTCATTATTATTTATATCTTCAATAACTAAATAGTTATTGTACTTATTACTTAAATTTATATTGTTTATTTAAACATGTAGACCATGTAGTGATTAATCATGAATTGTAGTACTGCTACAAGAGTTAGGTTAGATTAGGTAATTAATGGCGTAAATATAAAAATTCATCCTGGATGCAAAAAAAAAAAAAGAGCTCCTTCAAAGTTTCATTTGAAAAATATGCTCACTACTCAGTATTTTAGATATACGAGCCTCTTTTTTACTATTTTAAACCAATAGAAAGGCTTTTAGAGTATAGATATTAGAATTCAATGCAGCTGTAGATATGTATTACCTTCATTTCACTATTCATGTCAGCCTGTGTTTGTAAGCATATAAACATAAAGTATCAAGCGGCTCGTAAAAAATAAGTATTTTCTCATACTATTTGTTTTTTTAAATAACGTACAAAGTTAAAAAAATATACGTTTATTGTTTTAGAACTTAGTTGTTCATTGGCTACAGCTTATTTACACTACGTGGGATGTGGATAAATGTACATGAAAGATAATAAGGTACTATTATCTGCCAACTTATAGCCCATATGCACCAATTTCGCATACAACAATGCTGTCATAATTTATAAAATGGATTATCTAAATTATAATAAATTTTATGTTTTTTTTTTCAACATTTTGTAATTTACAATAAAAAAAATATATATATATATAAATAATGTAATAAATATTTTATTATAAATCAATTCTTCTAAATTTATACACAATATTTAAAAAAATATATAACCTGCAGGTTAATTGTTTATCTTATATTCGATTCAAGTAGTACATGTTAATTCTACACGTTTTTTTCTCTGTATTTTGCGTCTAGGTTTTAATGTACCTTCCTTTATTGACTTCCTTCAGTTTTAAATAATTATCCACTTGAATTATTTTATTAAATTCGTATACTTTTCTTTTGCACTTATCTCTAATATCCAACAAGTTTAAATCTTCAATAGTACTTAGTTCGTTAGTTCATGATTGTGAATGTCTTTAACATTATTAAGTGCTGATTTTAAATAATAAGTTATTACAATTTGTTTTTTAACGCAAAGCCAAATTATATCTCCCGAAATCAAATTTTTACTGAAGTGAAATTTAAAATTACCAAAAATTAAACATTAATAATTTTGAATAGTATTTGTTATTCTAAGATCCATTTTTATACACGTGCAACTTAAGTATTTTAAGTTTAATTCTACAAATAATATTAGTTAAGAATTTGTAGTATATGTAAGGTTTGCACAACGTATGTACAGAGATGTGAGAACCATTATGAAGTGTACCTAATTTAAATAAAATGGACCAATAGCAATAGGTATTCAATATAATCGATAAGAATTTTACGTAAAAAATAAAAATTAATAAATAATAACTAATATGTAAAATAATCCGCAATCATATTGCATCGTATTTCAGAATACAGTTTAATAATGTTTTAAGTTTTTAACACGTTTTTACTAAAAATACTTTGGGTACCAATAGGTTATAAAAAAATATTTTTGTTATAGCTTGCAAATAAGTCATGTTCAACAAATAAAAATCAATTTTTATTTATAAAAATATTAATCTGAACAAAGAAAAAATGTATAAATAATGTAAAATACTTAAATATATTGTTGACATTTAAAAATTGTTTTTATAAATTATCTCGAATTTATATGTTATGTTTTAATGTGGAAAAATAAAGTATTTATTTTGTTATTTATTGTAATTTACTTTCTTAATTTTAGTATATTTTTAACAATCTTGATAAACTAATAACTAAACTCCTTAATAAGGTTTATGGTAACAAATAAAAATTTAAAAATTAATAATTATAATTTGTTAAGAATTAATAAAATTATCAATAAATAATTTTAAAAAAATACGTGTTATATAAATGTTTAGAATATGTGCTTAATTTAATTATTTTCATTTTGACATTTATTGAGTTTTATTTTACCCGCGTACTTAAGTTAAATAAATAATTGTATTTCATTTTCTTGATTTTTATTTATTTTTAATACATTTTTATTTTATTTTCACAAAGTGAAAGCATATAATTTATATAAGTTTTTTAAGGTTAAAGTGTAAATCCATAAAAGTTATTTGTATACCATTGTTTTACCATATTTTAACAACTTAAATTATTCCTATTCACTTAGCCCAGAACTTTTCTTCTCATATCTATATGGTTATATTATAGATTAGGTATATATTTATAAAGTCTTTCTGTTTTGATAAAATAATTTTATTTTCATAAGTCATAATGGCCTTTGTCCATACTCCCTATTGATAGGTATATCATATAAAATATTTAGTGATTAATAAAAAAAGTAACTTTTTTTCGATCAATTATTTGACCTTTTTATAAAGTTATTATAAATTATATAGTAATAAAGCGTGTGTCCATAATAATAATAATTTAGGTATCCTTTAGTGTGTTTTTGATGTACCTTTTTTTCGTGACCACGCAACATATCATTAAGTTAGAAATTACAGAGTTAAGTTTTATAAGACAATTTTATATTTTAACAATAAATGGACTCTCATATCAAATACATGTTTGAAAAAAGTATGAGTAATATAAATAAAGAAACATAAAATGAATGTGTTTCGTTGTGTTCCCTAACTTATAATAACACAACCTTTTCATAGGATCCTGAATGGAAATAGTTCAATTTATTCAGTAAATAGATATCTAAAAGTCATACCTAAATTATTTTTATTCATTTGTTCAAAATTTCGCTAGAATTTGTTAACAAAATAAAATATTATAGTGCAATTTAGAATTCTTGTTTCAGACGTCGTATAGTAGTAAATGAAAAAACATTTGGTAATATTTAACCCGACCTTGGACATACACATTTTTTTTTTATAATATCATAAAAACGCTTACTGCGAGCACCTGGATTATTTCAAGACTACACCTGGTACAGTTAATTAGCAGTGTTCAACATTATTTGTAGATGAATACTTTTTTTGTATATTTTATCTCACCTAGATAACTTTTAATTGGTTCAATTATTATCTTACATAAATAATAAAAACTCACATTTATTTAAACTATCTTAATAATTCTTTACTGTTTATTTTTGTATTATCATTGCTTAATATCAGTTTGTTCACCAATTTCTATAGGATTGAAATAAAAGTTCAAAGCTATACTACATTTAAATCTCTCTATAAAAGTGAACCATATATTCAAAGGTTAGATTCAACTACAGATTAATATAGGTATTAGTTTTGCCCAGGATTTAAAATGGATAAAAAAAATTCAAGGAGGAGCTAATGTCTCTATATAGTTTTAAGCGTTCCATATATAATTTTATGTTAAGTGTCTAATACTCACTAACGCATTTGGTATGTGTAATATAATAATTTTGTAACATTCTCATTCTACTTTTAACCCTGAATAACGTTCAAAATCGTAATTTATTTTATGAAAAATTAAATCAAAAATAATACTTTTTTAAGAATACCTAACTAATATCTTATACAAATTCAATATTTTGAAAGAAAATGTATTTATATATGTATCTATATGAATATATAAAGCTCAATTTTACATAATATCATTAAACTATCGGCTAATCGAATACCTATTCATATCCTAGTGTCTATATATATTTATAATAACTAATAAAATTAATTTGTACACATATATTATAAGATAGATACTCCATAATTTGTACAAAATACATTTGATAAAAGTAAAGTAAAAATGTATACAATAAAAATAAATAAAAACCAAGATTTAATCTCAACGGAATGCTGAATTATATTAACTTATGTTTGATTATAATTATAACATTCCGGTGTACCTTACGAATAATTTGTAAAAGGAGACACTATTCAACTATCATTAAAGATAGAAGGACAGGGGATAGAAGTTCCCCGCTTTAACCCCTGGTTCTACCTATTTTTACAAAATTTTTAAATCATAAGAGCATGCTCTTATACAATGTAATATTATACCTTCAATAAATAGCACACAATTAAGCCAGTACACTAATTCTTAAAAAAGTGGTGACTTTTTTGAAAGTATTATATCATTATGTCGATATTACCAGATATTGATATAAGAGAATGAGCTGTCTCCATTTTACATTCATACATCATACATAATGCACAACAGCTAATAATTTTAGATCAAAAAAAATAATATGTATATATATAAGATGTTAAATGTAATAAATTAATACGCGGTACAGTATAACTTATTTTTTTTTTTAAATGGAAACACCTATTTTTTTTTTAATAAAAATATGCAGAAATATTTTAATTTAAATTGAAAATATGTTATATAGTTTTCTTTGTTTATTATAATTGAAAACCATAAAATATAAAATCTATAAATAACTATTTAGATGAAAATATTATTTTAGTCGATAGTCACCGTTTCAGTGAAATTGCCACCCAACAGTTTCAATCGTAACATCTAATGGTATGGTTGGTTAAACGAAGTAGGCCAGGGAGAATAAGTCACGTATTGTAGACGCTATTGAAACTGGGTTCACAACAATATTTACAATGTAGCCGTGCTGTTCTTTGTCGTTGTAAGCCGTCATAATTAATTACATTAATTATTTAAAAATTATTATGCGTTTTTACTACCTATCTGATATGTATTATTTTCGACATTTTAATATTTATTTTGTAGTTATTTTCAAAATGCAAAAAGACAAAGTACCTAATAAATTTTTTATTTACCAGCATTTTCAATAATTTAATATATGAACAAAATTCAATTGAAACTTAATCGCCCAACTTATCATTTATTGTTATAGATAATCGTAGAATAGCTTATAAAAAAATTTAAATAATTAAACAGTATAAATGTATATGTATATATAATATATATATATACAATTATTTAGCTAATGAAGTGTTAAGTATAATTAATTTTTTAATAAAAGGATTTTTCTTGTTCATTGTTATATAGAGTTAGTTATAAAATTTAAGTCTCCCCAGAATATTTACTCACGAGTCGCTACTTAGGCTGAAGAGTAGTTTTATATTCAGTATAATTACGATTTTAGGATTAACTAATTATCTCAACAGCAGACCTTGGATTGAAATAGGGTTTTTTGAAAAGTGAAAGAGAGTACTCAAATACACGTTTTGAGAACATTTAAAATTTTCAATCCTTTTGGTGTATGTGCAATACAACTTACTTTTAACCAATAGAAATATTAAAATGAGTGTTTAATATTTCTCATTTGTATATAAATAGTAATTTAATAATAATAATAATAATAATAAGCCACCCGGACGGATATCTTGAATAGCTAATGATTTGGGTATGGTTAACTACTATATGATAAATTGATAACAATTTAAATTATTTTTATGCCAGAATTTTATTTTAATATTCTATAATTTTTACAACGATAAGATAATCAAATAATGTTAGTATTTAATTTTATCAAAAAAAAGTTTTGTTTTTAGTCTTTGATTATATCTGTACCTCGAATTATGGGTTATCAGTTTATTACCCATGTAATACCTCTTCACGAGTAGCAAGTATTCCTATAATATTATGAATATGAATAACGCTGAAAAAATCGATTTGATTTTAATTTATGGTGAATGCCATAAAAAAATAATTTTTTGTATAAATTGCGGCCGAGGTATATTTTGTATATATGTAAACTGCGGCCGAGGTATAATTTGTATAAAATCATTTTATTTATTAAAATCAATATTTTCCTTTCCATTTTTCAGACTTAGGACTGGCAATATAATTGTTTTAGTATTGGTATGGTTAAAAATATAGGTTTTGCTGTTATTTGTTTATAATTAAAAAATGTATTATTAATAATTAGTTATAAAGTATTAGGTAAAAATGTGTATCATTAAAAATATATTATTAAAATAAAATTTTAATTAAGAAACCGGTAAAAATTTGTTACATAATTTCTATACATAGTCAACCGAGTAATTTTTTTTTTTGCAATTCCTACATTTTTTCATATATAAATATTTCTTTTTCAGTCATTTTTTTGCTTTTTATTCCCTGACTTCTCAAGCTGATATCTACATCATAGATTATTAGTCATTAGTAATAACTTATTAATAATCTTTAAATTGTACAGCCGACCGGATATCGGAATATCCCGGACCGAAATTTACTTATGTCATAAAAATACACGGGTCGCAATTTACAAAGTATATGACTTAAACCTGTTTTTCGGGAAGCAATTTACAGACTCCGGCCAAACGATACTCAGAAAGATACTTAGATACCATCTACCTCATAATTATGTTTTACGACTTTTACATGAGATAAATTGAAAAGAAAGATTATCGAGCAGACAAACCAACTAAAAAAAGAAGTAGAGTAAATGTTAGATAAGTATACAGAGTTATAGACTATTGTCTACAGATACTAGCATGCATACGGTCAATCCACGTTAATCACTTTTTATCTATAATAGATATTTTAATATTATTATATATTTAAATATGTTTTTTTTTTATAAGTTTATGTACAAGGTTCATTGTACCTGTATGTTTGTGATTATATAATAATTTTTTTAATGCAATTATATTATAATTAAATAATAATTGTGTACAGATTATGTAACTAAATATAAAATGTCAATGCATTCACAATTTAAATTTGTTATTAATTTTAATAATTAACTATAGGCATTTTATAAATTGTATGTAATTATCTAAAACAGTGATTGGCAACTAGCGGGCGACTCCAAAAATTTAAACCGTTGTACAATTAGTTATTTTGTATCACTAACGTAGATAACAATAAAATAATTAAAACGTTTTCAATGTTTTCATGTATTTTGTGTTGTATAAATGGAAAATGGATTTGGTTGTATTCGAGTCTTTATTAAAACCCACCGTCATAAAAATACATAAATATAAGTAATTAATTTTTTTGAGATGTATTGATTACGCGAATAGTTGTAATAGAAGATCAAACATATTTCAAATACGAGGCCATAACATTATTGAAATGTCTTATTAAATATTATTATATTTTTCTAAAATTCTTATTGAAGTCAAAATGTTAAAATACATTTAATTTTTTTTTTTTTTATATTAAAAACACTAAATTTATAAAAAATTCTCATCCAAAATCATATAAATTTCTGATATAATTATTTCAAACGATGACTAATTATTTTATTTTCAAATAGTGTCAGTATAGATAACTACAAGGTCTCAGATTTTTAGTTAGATTTTTACAGTTATTACTTATTATAATAATTAGGTATCCAAAACATTGATTTTAATCGTCAGATAAAATATGTATTTCAGTTAAAATGACATTTTATAATGTCCGATGAGGTTAATAGTCGTACTCATAAGACATAATAATATGTATTTTATGCATTATGCCATCGAATGTAATGAAATAATTTGAATTTCTTTATGTTGCGTGATGCCAATACTTAATTCTACATGTACTTAAATATTTTTACTCAAATATAAAATATATTCCGTATTCAAATTCTTAAATTACAAAGAAAACCATATACTTTATAATTTACACGATATGTATCGCATGCAGCATATATTACGGTGAATAATAGGGTACCTATAGATTATATAGTACTTGTGCTTGTGACATATGTATACTGCATACATATATGTACTAAATGTTTTATGAAATATGTTAATACCTGCATGATATTAAATAGTAAAAATATAATTTTTTTTTCGTAACAGAAGAGGGAAAAAAATGACTACAAAATCAATTGATGAAAAAAAGATCACGTTTTTATTGTTGAAAATCGTATTTTTTTAAATATATAATGTACGTTGTCGGAAGGTTGAGAATCATGGGCGAGTGCGGGTTTTTAGTAGTGATAGGCGACCGGGTATGCTGCTTTGTAGGCAGTTGGGTAGTACGACTTTTCGTATTTGCCTGGGTAGTATTTTCCATCGTCGTAAGCTGCGTAGCTCGGGTACGCTGCGTAACTGGGGTAAGCTGCGTAACTCGAGTAAGCGGCGTACGGGGTGGCAGCGTAGGCAGCCGGAGCGACGTAAGCAGCTGGAGCGGCATAAGCAGCTGGAGCGTATTTGTAAGTGTAGCTGGCTGGGTAACTAGTGTATGATGAGTACGAGTATGCCGGGGCTGCTGCAGAGTAAGCCACGACCGCTATAAATAAATTTAAAAATAAAATCGATTCAATTTTGTTTTATCGAATTGAATTTACAAAAAAAACGATAAAAAAATTTGTTGAACAGTATATATTTTGAAAACATTATGGTCTATATAATCAAATTAAACATATTATAGTACTTACGAGCTGGGGCAGCAGCGAAGTAAGCATGTTTCTTCGTTCTTGCTCCATCATCGGCGGACACAGCGGACACGGCGTACACGGCCAAGGTTATGAATATCTATCAGTCAAAAGAATTAAAGTAAATATTATATTGGTCATTACATATATTTCAGACATTTCAGTATAGTTCATTTAATCACATGACATAGTTGCTGTCGCGAAGAATAGTATACATCTTAATCATGACGTAAGATATTTCGTTGTTCATAGAAATCGTCGTAGATAGACAAAACTTAAAACACAGTAGGTATTTCAAAGATTCAGTAGCTACGATCTATGATAAACTATTTTTTTGTAAGATATCATTATTCTACGATTAGATCCGATATCTACGAATAGTTAGTTTGAAAGGTTTTTAATTTAGTTTACTGGCAATCTTTGTAAGACATCATATATTTATAGTCCTAAACTTTAAACGAAATAATCATAGTTATCCATAGAATTTTAAAATGCTTTAAAATTCTATGGATAAAAATAGGGTTAGTTATAAGTTCAATAAATCTTCATTGCTCTAACTTATTCATCAAATAAAAAATATCATAAATATATATATATATATAATTATTAATTTAATATTTCTCAATTAAAATTGAGCTACAAATATTCGGATCTTTGGCTAAAACCTTCCACAACTTGTATAATAATTGACGTGTGCATAGAATTTATATGCTCTACCGAAATACGCGTTCTATGTATTATATTTAGCACAAAATGATGTGACTGTATAGTTGCAGCATAAGCGGTGATTATTACGAAATTAAATTATTTAGAAATAATGTTTAAAGCTTAAATTGGTTTTAAATATACTAGATTGGAAAATTAGTATGTGTCTAAGTATAATATGAAAGTTAGAAAAACCACTGGTCGAATTACCTAAATGCGTTATAAAATTTATAAAACTCACCAGATTCTTGAAAGAAGCCATTTCTTATTTGTTGATTTCTTTTCGTGTTGTCTACGACGAATCTGCAAACTTCAACCTGTGGTCGATGTGTGTACGTGGGATGTAAAGAGATGTGTGATGCCAGTGCCTGGTGCCGCTGGTCCTTATATATACGATTCGGTCGATGGGTCTTCGGCGATGTGATGGTATGTGATTCCAATGACCCCTACTCGACAAGGGCGTTTCCTGTCTCGTTGAAAGACCAAAATCCGGATCAAGCCGAAAAATTGCGCTGCCTCATCAAACATTGCTTGTTGGCAGCTCGGTAGTTGGCCTTGGACCTAAGATAGTAATTGACTTTGCACCGCATAGTAGCGGTTAACCTTGCACTTTGGTTAAGGGGATTTGCATTATAAAAAATTAATTATATAATATAATAATCACAACAAAAATATATAATATATATAATTAGGCGTAGCCGGACATGACGTGTCTGTCATTATTGGCGCGGGACTACACCACACCGTGTACACGAATTCGAACCCGATAGCTAAAAGTTGCGATTGCGGGTAATTTAGATATCCAAATTCGGCCGCAAAAATAATATAGGCTTAATATTTAGAAATTTAATATTGTGATGAGAAGTTACGAGATTAGAGTCTGACCCAGTGATACTCCAAAGGTAGTAAACACATATTAAAGCCTTAATATTTTATGGATCTTTTTTTTCTCGGAGGAATGTTGTTAATTTTTTGATAGAATCACTATTACATAAAAAGATTCACCGAAACTACTTGCTGCCATTTTTTCCTTTAATAATATATTGGTTAAGATTCTGGTTTTGGAATTTTTAAATGAACATAAAGACAATATTTTCAATTTTTTAATATTGTCTATTAAAACCATCCTCTTTAAGAAATGTTTTATAGCAATACAAACTTTATTTTTACAAATAAGAACTCCCTTTTTTATGGTAGTTTATTTAATAGATCATTTTTTTGAAAATTTTGATATACCTAATTCAAAATTTGAACGAATAATTTTTCAATTATTAAAATGTTTACACTAAGAATAATAGTTCTTAAAAAGGGTTTTAAAAAAAATATATATATATTATATGTAATATTGAATTAAGTATTAACTATGGTAGAACATTTTTACAAATTTTTAAGTTGATACATTACTATTTATTATTAATTACAAAATGTTCCAAATACCATAAAATTTAAATAACTCAAAGCCTATTCATTCGAATTTTATTTTTGACGCATCAACATTTCAGATATATTATCTATTATACAATTTACAGTAGAAAAAAGAGATTCTCATTAGAAAATCAGAAGTTTATGAGAGTGTAAGTATAAAAATCTCTGAAGAACTAGAAAATATGGTCTTTAAGTACATTTAAAAAATTTCAAAGTTCAGACTTTTAATAAATGCGTTGTTGAAAAACAAAGAGATAAACATACTTAATAAATCATCCTTTATATACCTTAAAACCTTTTTTTTTTTTCTTTTTTCGAAAAATTTGTAAATCAATATTACTTTTCTAAGTTGTTTCTTATTGTTAGTGTTTTTAGCAATTCATTTTTAATAAATACTTCACTTGTTACTAAAATATTTGTCATATTTTTTAGAAACTAATATATTTTCTTAAATATATATCCTTTTATGCCCAAACTTCAAAATATGAAGGTTCCTGGGACAACAATATTTTTTAATTATAGCTTATTTTTAATAAATAATGTAAATATATATGTGTGTATTTTTTTAAGTAATTTACATTCATACGTTTTTTTATGAAACGTTTTCTTATCGTTTTTTTTCTTGAGGTAGTGATAGAATAAAGCCCCATATATTGTGTTCAACAAAAATTTTGAATATGGTTGATCAAAAATTGTCATTTAATATGATAAAGTTGACATTATTCTAATGCTAATTAAGGTATGTATTTATTTTACACTATTATAAACAGTAGAATAATAATTGTATAAAAAATAAATATTTTTCTATTTATTATAGTACAGTAATATTTAAAAATATATTGGATACCTGCAATGTCATGTGATTGATTTTATTCATAATTTATACACAGTATATATTAATATTATACACAATATTTTATGTTAAATGTAGTTTAAATTATGAAATCATTCATAAAAACATTTTAACTTGCATAGCGTTTTATATAAAGTACCTAGGTACATTGTATAAATAAAACTACGAGAGCATGGCGTCCAATTAAAAGAATTTTTTTATTATTTTATTTTTAGCAAATTTTATAGTAAAAAATTCGTTCTTCGAGGCCTTATTTCTCAATCCATCTATATTTATTTTTTCAGATCCAGTTCAAACCAAAATGGAAACTTTTTATTTTTAATCAATGCTTAGTTATTGTATAATGCGACAAAAAAAAAAAAACATGTGAAACATGAACAATTTTTATTAAATTATTTTTTTTATTAATTTGCACAAAATAAAACTTTTCGTGTATGTATAATCTGTGTAGAATGTTAAAAATCAGTATTAAATTAATTTTTACACATTTATTATCTAATTATTCTATTAAATCATGCATAAACAAATCACCAATATGGCAATATGTATAATATCAATTTGACAGATTCTCACAATGTGATCTTTTTACTTTTTAGTGAATATTAATGATATTAACAGTATTTAATATAATAAGTAATATATAGGTATTTAGCATGAATGGAAATCTATTAAAATTTTAGTTGCGAGGGTGGGGGGGTTGCATTTTTAACATAAATATGCTAATAAGCCTATATGATAATATAACACATTTTTAATATTTCTTTTTTGAAGGAAATTAGCCACTTTTCCAAATCTCCTTCCCTTTTCCACTTATGCATCTATAATATTTATAATAAGGCACGTAAGACTTAATCATCTCATTTTCTTAAAATCTTAGAAAAAATAAAGTAGTGTCTTACCACGCTTATTTTAATAATTGTTATTAAGATTTAAGATTTTAGTATATGTCACAACTCATAAATCAGAATATACTTACAGAAAAAATTTCTTTTTTAAACTAATAAAAATATAACCATACGTCTATACATAATTCAATGACTTAACTGGTGTGAAAAACTTGATAAAACTATAGTTTAACAGTAACAGTTTAACTATTTAAAAAGACAAAAGTTACCCATTAGTGGTACTTCTGTAGATGTTCATTATATAGATAAAGATAAATAATATTATAATCAGATATCACGGAAATTTCCTAAAAGGGTTGAAATGTATAATTTTTTTATAAGTGAACTGTAGAGACTAGGAAATTTGGCATGCAATTTATTATAAAAAAAATGATTGATACATCATTACGTAGTTATTTTTGTTTAGTGGTATTATTTATTGATTTTAGTTTAGAAATTAAAATTTGAAATTAAAGGAGTATTTTATGATTTAACGGAGAGAGATACTTTGAAGGGCTTGCGTTTTGATCATATAAAAATTTTTTATCCAAACCTCATAGTTTGAGGTTGTAAGTCCAAGTCTGATAAATGAGAAATGCATATATTAACATAATTATAATATACAGTTTTTATAATGCAGTCATACACACCTAAATTTAAAAAAAATGTTTATATTTTATCTGTAATTTGTGGGACATGAATAATACTTACAACAACAAAAAAAAATAACTATCTTAATGTTTAAGTGTTTTAGCCCATGATCCCCTAATTGGAATACTATACATAAAAACGCGAATAGTTATAATATTCGCCAATGCCCTTGAACGACACGGTCACTGACTTCCAAGCGTGAAAACGTGGTGTGTGGTGTAATATATGTATCGAATATCGTTATAAATATTATAATATTATAATACATACATTAATAATTATTTTTTTATTTAACCTATGATTTAAATACTTATATATAATATATATGTATATAAATTATATTTATGCACCTATACACAAAAAACGCATTGTACTAATTAGAAATGAATAGTATATTTTTAGACTATATGTATATATTGTATATTATAAAGAGAGATTAAAAGAAATAGATACTTAAAAAATATAATTGACTATGCAATAACTTTTGGTTTCATCAACATTTATTTTTTTTTTTCTATTTTATATACCTATAAGGCTATAAGAATATAGATATTAGATAATATATAAATTTAAAAACAAATGTATACAAAAATAAAAGTTATTTAGTTAATTATATCTGTCAGTTCTTTCTTACATTATAATTACAGCCTGTATTTGTATATAAAAATTATATTAAAAGACATTTAAGCTGTATATATATAATATTATACATAATATACATCACTATTTTAAAGCATTTTAAAAGAAGACACTACACAGACATTTCTTGCCTCCGTCTTACAAGTGCGTAACACAGCAAATTTATATTCAGTAGATTAAATTTAGTTTTGTTATTTTAAAAACTAAAGAGAATCGACATACAATGAAACTTAATGGTAAGAACATTATCTGTGTTTGCATGTGAGTATTTCACGAGAGTTCAATTTTTTAGAGAGTTTTGCATATGTAAAATATAGTAAATTAAAAATGCTCATAACTTACTTAAAAAATTGAATTAACTTATTAAACTGAATTATAAACTTAATGTTCATATAATACAACCGATAGGTATAAATTATATGCAAATATAATAAATATATAAGTATATCAATAATACGTATATTTTACATGTAAAATAATTTTGGTACGTTACCTAATAAATCAAATCAAATTTTAGGTTTGTATTATATATAGGTAAGAATTATGGAATACAAATCTTTGGAATAGAATTTACTCACACAGCATTTTTTAATGAAAACGGTATTAAAATTAATAAAATATTTTTTAAAACGTTTACAACATTAAATTATAAATATATAAGTAAATAATTATGATTTAATTAATATATTATATAACTAACTGTAACGAGTTCTCCAAGCATGCTTAGGAATAAAAATATACCTAATTAATAAAAATACAAAAATTATTTTGTAATCAATAGTATATTACGTATTTTAAAAGAAACATAATGTATGACAAAAATATTATCTATTTCTGTAATACCTATTTATCTGTGATTATCTTTATTATAACATTTAATGACAGAGCAAGCGATAGATGTGTGCACAAGTTATACGATGCTTGTTATATAGCTGTGAAATATCGAGACCTGCTGTACTAGCAACCTAACCGCCCAGGGCACGCTCATTCTGCTGCGCTTTTTCAATGTCATTTATATAATTTACGGCTACGCTTACATGACAATTTTTTTACTTTAGTATGAGTACTATAATAAGTATATTATTTTTTAATAATATTATAGCTATTGTAGAAATTGAATGTATTATATAATATATATGACTTGATTTATAAACCTTTTTCAAGGAAATCTTTTTCCAAAAAAAAAAGAGAAATTATTAAAATAGGTACCTCGTACGATAATCCATAATCTTACAAGTGTTCTCAAAGATAAAAAAGAGAATATATTTGCCATTTTAAAAAGTATTAGAAGGTTTAAAAATAAGCCTTGAAATTTACGATAAAATAATAGAAAAGTTCGTTGAAAAAGTAAGAAGAATTTACTTTATTTATAAATAAAAAAAAATGTGGAAGTAGTTTGTTTTACCTAGTTAAAAGAGTATTATTTAAGTAAGTGCTATTATATAAAGTAATAAATTTATTCTTATTTATAAATGTGTGTATTATTTATTGATTATAAATTAAGTATAACTGTAATACATTATAATAAATAAACATACCCATTGCCATACATCGGAGTAGCAATCGCCACTGATAACTAGTATAAGTTAAGTATTGATTAAAAATTAAAATCAAGTGTAGGTATTAAAGAATCATTAAATTAAAAACTAAGCTATATGTAATCTTTAATAAAAAATAAATATTGAATTCTTAACCTGTATATTTCAATTACCTAATATATTGAATATAAAACTCAAAATTATCAACGAAGGTATTTATTGTCATCGTCATATTCAACATTAAATTAATAACAGCGAACTTTAACCTAACCACTGGTGGTTCAATGCAATAAATTAACAGGTGTTAGAAAACATGCATTTTTTCGTAATTTAAAAAATACTGAAAAAATATATTTAATTACATTTTCAGCACAATAAGATGTTAAAATGTCAACTAGTTATGAATAGTTTTTATGTATATTATTATTTTATTAATTTATTAACAAAATCTGACATATTATTTTTTGGAATTCAGAATAATTATTTGCATATTTAACATTTATAACGCATATTTTGCAGTTTTTTCGTGCATATTTTGCCTTTTTTAGCTTCTAAAACTTCCTAGCCCTAGATATAACGTTGTTGTGTGTGTTAATATCTGAATCAAAATATTGTAGAATGCAGTGGTTCTCAGTTGGTAGCCCGTGGGTCCCAGAGGTCTGTGGAATAATGTTGGATGTCCGCGGATGTGTTTGGCAATACGAATAAACCGCGGACACTCGTTCACAACACGAAAACGAGAGAATATATAAAAAGGGAGTCCCCGAATCATTTCAATTTTCAGCTAAGTGCCCGTGGCTTCATACTAATTGATAACCACTGTTATAGAGAATGAGTGTAAGTAAATAATAGGATAGTATTAAAACATGGATCACCACAGTGACAGTCTACAGGATACTTTAAATATGATTATAAAAGATAGATTGATTGATAGGTATAATAAGGGGTCAATAGAAATCTGAGTCAGTATACTTAGTCAGTGTGCCACACACGATCAAATATCTACCTGATCGACATTTAAAAAACTCCTGAACAATAGTGTTTTTTTTCCATGGATGATGCGATAATATCAACCAATTTGGTATTTGAAATAGGGTAGAGTGTTCGTATTTGAAATCAAATAGTTGTTTACTCAGAATAATATTATTTTGTATTAATGATTTTTTTCAATATTTGAATAGTTAAAAAATAATGTCTGTTGCAATTTTAAATTTTAGATTAGCCACTTATTTAAATTTTTGAAGCAGAATATTTTTATTAATATCTTGATTTGAACCAATATAGTTTATTGTTTAATCATTAGAATTTTCAATTTTTAAATATCAAAAATTCGAATTTTTTTGAAATTTAATGTGTTCTATAATAAACGAAACTTGTCTGATTTTTAAACATAAATATAATTTATCTATTTTCAAACAAGTAAGATTGGTATTTGGTATCGAGGTTCTCAGAAAATTACGGACTATCATTTTAGAAAATAGATACCCATATTGCCATACCTGATATTTCTGGCCTCAGAGGACACTTCTTTGATATTATAAGTCTCGATATGTTATACCCGAACACGTACGAACATTAGAGAACAAAGATCGACTCTCTACAAGTCCTTTTTTTTGCACTTAAATTCCAATAAACGACCAAAATGTGTTTTTTTTTAGTTATTATAGTATTTAGAATAGGTACTATACAATGATGGCATTATATCATGAATGTAACCAATGAGATCGTTACGATTTCTCTACATTAAATATTATATATCACGGAACGACGCCTGAAGTCGTGTTTCGATTTTCAAACATCTGTACCTAACTAATATACCCGCGAGTTGGCTTAAAGTGTTTTTATATTCTAGTTACTTTATACCTATTTTATAGTACAAACAAATAATACAGTTATTAATTACGGTGGTTACCTACGCCGCTAACCGTATTAGTCTCCGCCCGTCGTGTATAGGACATAGGAAGCAACTAGCAAGTGGTAGAGTGAGCGATACCGACTGATTATGTGATAACGTAAGAATTAAATAACAACAAGTATTACGATAGCATAACAATAAACAACAATAACAACGACGACGACGAAGATCACGAACGACAGGCTACTGATCAGCAGTTTATTTGTGTCCAAACGACCAAACGGTCAATCGGTATTTCGTAGACCACAGTGACAACTGCTGCGTCCGCAGGTAACGCACGTTGATGGTGGTGCACTAATATTGATAATTATATATTTTCAACACGGATTTCACATGTGATACTGTCAAACACCATTTTCTAGGAGTCGTCCATCGCGAGATGAAGAACGTATTTCTTATCACCGTCATCGGGTCGCTGGTGGCGTTTGCGTACGTAAGTTACGCGTGCAACGAGGCTGTGTGCGCGTCAATCGTCTCTAAGTGCATGATTACACAGTCGTGCAAGTGCGACTTAGTAAATTGTTCATGTTGCAAAGAATGTTTCAGCTGCCTCAATAATTTGTACAGTGAATGCTGCTCGTGTGTGGGTGAGTTGTGTACATAGTTTAAAGTTAGGTATGTCGGTTTGGTTGATCATTTACATTGGCTTTACATCTGTTCCGTATGACATTATCGATACTTTGACATTAATAACTTGCTACTCTACTATTATGTCAATAAGAAACCATTTTTTTATTATGTAAAATTTTAAGACTATAATATTTAATTATTGCCAATAACAATACATCCAATTAGTTTTCATTTTTAAATTTGATTAAAATTTGTATTATGGTTAGTTACTGTTAAATATTTCAGCAGTAAAATAAAAACTATACCTTAATCATAAAATATCAAGATGATTTTATTAAGTTTAATAATCAGGTAGCATATTAATATGGCATGAACATAGAAAACATACTCTTAACTCTCAAGTAGTGTTTTATTTTTTATCAAATTCTATAACCCAAATATTACAACATTATCAATGACATTACTTTCCTTGTATTCAATTTCTATTAAAAATATTAAGTTAGGTTACCATTAAACTAGAATTTCAAACATATATCAAATATTGAAGATGTAAGTTGCAAGGCTTAGAAAATTTTTGGTTTTATCAAATATATTATTTGGAAATTATAAATAATTACTGTGTACCAATAAGAATAATTAGGTCAGTTAATGGGAAGAAGTTCTTCTTGCCTTTATAGGTCAAAAAAATTAACTACTTACTAGTTAATTTAAAATAATAAGCATATATGTTAGATAATATTATAATTATATTTATTTAATACAATAATAATTATTGATATTTTGATTTTAGACATGTGTCCAAAACCAAATGTTACTACTAATGAATTGAGCAGAAAAAGCCACGTCGAAGATCTATCAGACTCTGTTGTGACTTTATTTACTGCTCTTGTTTCGGAACCAGATCTACAACAACGATGGGAATCACTCACATATCCCATTGATTTGGACATTGAAATGTTCCAACCAGATTTTCAAAAAGAATTCAAGTTGTTACAAAGTAAATTCTAATTACAAACTATCTATATTTAAAAATGATTGCTAATGAAATTTTTAATTTAGAAAATTCTGCTCAAGATGTATCTTCTATGAAAATAACTCTAAATTGTTCTGTGGTATTCATGAGTCAATGTTTATCTTGGAACAAATGTAAAGCATCTTGTATATCAATGGGTGCTAAAAGTTATAGATGGTTCCACGATGGATGTTGTGAATGTGTTGGTGAACTCTGTTTAAATTATGGATTAAATCAGAGCCGGTACTTAATTTTAAATTTCCTTTTAAAATGTATATTTTTATGACGTTTTTTTATTAGATGTAAGCACTGCCCATTAAAAGGAGCTGTTGTGCCAACAATAAATGAAGCTGATTATGGTGATGATGAAGATGACGATGAAGAAATGATACAATGAGTAATGAATTTTCATTACTAAAGTATTACTTTTAATTTTGTATATAATATAATTTTGTTGTTTATTTTATTTATTTTTTTTTTTTTTTTTTTTTTTGTTGACAGAACTATCATATCAATTAATTCCTACTCTGTACTTTTATAAATATTATAACTTAACTATTTAGATGAGAAAGGAGTTTACTCTTACATTAATAAATGCTTTTAATTGTAGTGTTGTATTTTTGTGGATCTGACTATCAAATGATTGATTAATTATCTTATTTTAATTTTAAAATAAATCATTTTATTTGTTTTTAGTTCATTTTATAACTTATGATATTGAACATTTTGATCAATGCATACATTAAAATATTAGTAATCAAAAACATAATAAGATCAGTATATTTTTTTTAATGTATAAAACTCATTTTTTAGACAATTTTCAACATTTAAAATTTTAAAATATACAGATTGTAGAAGTAATTAATATTTACCACAAATTTGTATACAATCTCATTTTTTTAGTTAATTTTAAGTTTTTATAATTGTTTTGCCATATTTAATTTTATTGATAATTTCATATTATTTTTTATTTATAAATGTTCTTATTCAGATGAATATAGAGGCAAATTCTGTAAAATTGTAGTACACAACTTTGCTCACCTAAAATCTAAAAAGTCTATTTATATATCAAAATATTATGTTTAAGCTGTTTCAAAATATAAGATTAGTAATATATATATATAATTAAATATGTATTTTCAAAATTACAATAATTGTAATTAAAAATAAATAAATAGGGTTAATGATTATTGTGCATTTAAACGATTACCCAATTTGCTTCTATATCTATTCAAAAATGATGTGTAATATTGTTATTTTTAAGTTATGTTGTATAATAATTAATAATTATGATTTTTGATATTAATTATTAAGTACCATATTATCATGTAAAAGACAAATATTTTTTAGGATTATGATTGTTGTGCATTAATTATAATGGCCAAGTATGCTTCTATATTTATTTTAAAATTATGTGTAATATTATTACTTTTAAGTTATGTTGTAAAATTAATGATTATAAATTATATTAATTGTTAAGTACCGTCCTAATATGGATGAATTAAGGCAGTTATTCTCAAGTATCAGAATATTATACTATGGTGCATATTCTAGTTAAATTTTATAGATATAGAATTGTAAATGTTAATTATTTTGTTGGCATATATGTTATATTCTTATGTGCTTATAATTATAACTATTTCAATACGAGATATTTCATAAATTAAAAAACACATAAAATTAAAAATTTTATATTTTTTTATTTTGTTAATTTTAATTATTGTTAAAAAAAACTTAACAATCTATTCATTTTGTATACTACTTAATACCTATACAATAATCAATGTTGGAATTATTAGATTAAATTATTATTTATTGATTTTTAATTGAAAATAAAGTGTCTTTCTTAATAATCAAAACTTTTCTATTTTTAAATTTATCTTAGAAATTATGCATTGAACAATAATAACACATAAAGTATGATAAAAAGACAAAAGTAACAATATTTTATCAAAGTTTCCAATTGAATTTTTTAAAAAATGTATTCTAAAAAAATATTTATTTATTATTTATGTGAAGTATTGTAATTGGCAACTACTATTTTCTATATCATAAATGTAAAATTATTTTATTATGATTTTCTATTTTTGTTCTTGTCAAAAATTGTCACATATTTACACTATTATAAAAGTGAATTAAAATCTTAGATACACATGTTTCCGGTATATATAGTACACACTAACAAAATTACAATATACATCAATAATTTAATTTTTAATTTACAATAGAACTTCGATAGTCAAAACCTCCGATAATACAGTGAACGCGGTAATCCGGATGGCATAAGTTAATTTATTCTTAAATACATTTGTAGTTTGTTAAGAATTCTAAGAATTATTCAGAAAATAAAATACTGTCTTCTATACTTAAGTTCTATTATTATACACAAGTTTTTTTTTTTGTTTTTTTTTTGTATTTGAAAGTGCAATAAATAAAAGGTGGTGGAATTAAAAATAAAAATTGTAGTCATTTGTATGGATAGTTTTGAAAACTCCGGTAATTCGAACGATGCTCTAATGTAATTAATTTATAAATAGCCATCGATGTTTATTCAATGTTAGCGTATTCATTAATTTATATTTTGCCTTTTATTTTTAATCAAGTTTTCATGAAACGACTGAAACTTTTATAGATTAAATAAAGCAATATTCACTTACACGTATATGTATATTTTTAGGTTATTATCGGGATATAGAATCGACTTAATCATTTTTCGCTATTGTTGTTGGCTAAGTTCACAATAATTTAATATACATGATTTCAACTTAATTATAATTCAGCAAAACACAAAAAAAAAAATCAAGAATAATTCACTATCAAAAAAAAAACGTAAGTAGCAGCATAGGTAGGTATTTACAAACGATTTACTTAATCAAACTCATTAAAGATTTAAACGTTTAGCAACAATAGCAAGTATAGAGATTTAATTTTAATAAGAACTCAATACCTACCTACTTAACCAATCCTCTTTATAAATTAAAATATATTAATTATTATATAATATAGCAGGGACGGCCAAACTTTTTTTGGCCGTGATCTACTAAAAATATACTTCACCTTTGAGGATTGACATCGATAAAAAAATGTTTATTATTATTAAGTTACTATACCATCATAATAATTTTTGTGTGAGTAGCCTAAAAATAAATTCACGATCGACTTTAAAGTAGTTTGCGATCGACCGGTCAATCGCGATATTGGCTGTTTGACCGCCCCTGTAATATAGGATCGTATAATCTTTAACATTTTTATAAAATAATATTGTTAGTGCGACTATGGATTTTCACATAACATAACTAAAATAGCGATAATAATTAGTAAAAAAAAATCTAGGAGATGCTTTGATATCCAAAAAGTATATATTAAACGTTGTACTATCCCGTACCTAAATACTTCACCCCTTACATAATACGTTGTCCTAGTAACGATTGACGCAAACACCATCAATTTGAATATTATGAAACTCACTCGTGCAGGAACTTAGTTGACCATAAGATACAAAAGCAGTAAATTAGAATGTGTTATAATCTTAATCAATACAAATATTTAATAGTTAACTTAAAACGAATAATGTAATATAATAACTAAAAAATGACAGGTCAGTTGAAATTCACTGTAAAGTATTATTTATATAGGCTAAATCTACATTTTGTCCAAATATACTCGTACAGATACCTAATTATGTGCATTACAACCGATAACCGATCTACATTTGTTCATAATTTGTATATTGTAACTTTTATAGGTCGTTTAGACGTATCTACAGATTACAGTTCAACTACACTAAACTATCATTTCCTGTTGTATCTATACGATTATATGATTTATTTCTTGCAGGGCCATCAATCGATAATTGGGACGTACTAGATGACTTGATCGCTAGAGATGAAGGCGAACGAAAAGATCAAGAAAAAATGTATGCCAATACACAGTAATGGAGGGGGTCAGGGAGGGTCTCACACTCTAACGATATTCATTTAAGTTAGTTGTGATTTGTGGCTAACAGGAAATTATTGCAAGGCGATTTTCATCAAAGAATGGCCCGTGTACAAACATTTATTTATTAAATTATATTTTTTGTTTTTTTTTATTTTTTACAGTAAATTAAATGAGATTTTCACTAGTTTTCATTTATTATTTTGATTTTTATTTAACTTTCTTTTGATAAACATTAAACGTATACTTAAATTAAATTTTGATGGCCCTAGAAAATTTTCTGAACTTCTAAATTGACCTTCCACAAATATTAATTGGTAATTCTTGCCCTATTGTCTATTTAAAAATAAATATTCTACTATTATGAAATTCCCAATTATTTGATTTAAATTATAAAATCATTAACACATTTTTACATTTTTTGTTATACAAACCCAATATACTAGATTAGTGTTCATTAGAAAAACAATTCTTTTTGAGAAAAGAGGTTGACGAGAGCATTTTTCCCACATTAGATTCAATGGATTGGTTAATTTTTTGGAGTCCTTATTTTTAATTCGGCTGAAATGGGAGAAAGACACTATGCCACTATATCAATAGACAATGGGTCGTGAATTGTGATTCAGAACCAATAACCGTAAATTCGTAAATTCCATTTTTAATAGGACGTCGCACCCCCGCATGTATTATCTCCGTCTTACACACGTACGATATAGTAAATTTTCGTTCACCAGTTTTAATAGTGTGTTTTTAGTTTTGATAATTTGATATTAGAATGAATTGACGTATTATCAAATTTTTAATTTAGAACATTATCTGTGTTTTCTCGTTGGCTCTTTACGATATTTTAATTTTTAAATGAGTTATGAATATGAAAAATATAAATACTTGAAAATGCTTATAACTCACTAAAAAATTAAAATATCGTAAAAAAACCAACGATAGAACACAGATAATGTTCTTGACTAAAAATTTGATAATACGTCAATTTACTCTAATGTCAATACTAAAAGCACACTATTGCAACTGTTGAATGAAAATTTACCATGCCTTATGACGGAGACAACACATGGGAGTGCGATGTCCTTTTAAAGAAGAATTATATTGTAGCGAAGAATATTTTAAATGCGTCACTTTAACGGCTGATTGATGCCATACGTTTTTACTATATCGTAACCCATATACATATCCTTTGAAAGCTTTATTATTATTTATCTTTTGCTCTTTTATTTAATTATTTTATAACACTTAATAATTATATATTAATATATAAATATTATATTATTATTATTTCTTTATTTTATCATTTCGAATTCAAAAATGTTTGTAAAGAGAACGTATTACGGTTTTATTTATTTTATGAGTAATATATATAGTAATTATATATATTTATATCCTTAAACTCAAAACTAATTACATTAACAAAACATACTTTCATGCAAATCTATTAAATTATAAGTTTTTTTTTATTGTATCATCGTTCTAAACTCGTCGAGTTACGTAAATTAGGATAAAAAATATTCAAAATAGCAAAGGAACTAATTAACTGCATTTTTCCCAATGTTTAAAAATAAATGTGACATAATAACTTAATTTTAAAAATTTAACTTTCTTAAGTTTGTAGTTTCTACAATAGAACATTATAGATGTATTATTTACTTGAAACTAGTCTACTTGATAATATAGGTGGCTAGTGGCTACAAATCTTGTTATTTATATATGTAAATATATCATGGGTGAGAAATAATAAAATATGAAATATAATTTGGGTGAAAAGAACAAACTTTAGAAAAACAGGGGCATAGATGCTATTTTATTTAGGTACCTAAATGCGGGAACGAATACAATTAAACCAAATTTAACATTCTATTGACTCATCGGAAACGATATTATTTGCGTTCACTTATATAACGTATATCTGCGGCAGGAATGAGACGCGAAGGCCGGCATCGTTGACCGCCCCAAGGAAAACGACGACTGACGATTGGCTGGGACTGCGGCCGAAAAGCAACGCGGAAATAACGTCGTACGATTCGTACGAACCATCAGCACACGACGGTGGGTTGAATGTGTCAAGGCGTCATGACTTTAGGCGGCAAAGCACGCAACAGCGAACATCTCGTTCGGCAGGCTTGTTGTTCAGCGACGACGAAGATGACGTTAAGAAGAATAAGACCAACACCAGAAACGTTTTTGACTCGTTAGCTGATACCACATACCGTGGTACCGATGTAAGTGCTGTACCAATACCAGCTACGGTCACGACCACGGTCAACGGAAACGCCAATGACCGGGCGCGGACCGCGGTTTCCGAGTCGCAGACATTGTCGAAACGCCGAGAGACGTCGCCGTCCATCACGGTCGCCAAGAAAACCGCGATAGCCACAGGTAAATTTAACAATGACGTTTTGGATGGTATATGCTAAATACCCATTTACCATTTAGTGAATTAGAATATACCATGTAATAATAGTACAAATATGCAAACATACGCTCGGATTACGAGCCTTAATTTTTTTTTTTTTTTAATGTGCCTATAGCCTATAGATAACCAGCTGCGTACAGGGTAAGATATTTAAAAATTAAGCTATCTATAATTTATATAAGGGTCTGATATGTTTGCCCGACACTCAAATGCCCGACACCTTTTACCCGACACTACATTTGCCCGACAATATATTTTACATATTTTTACTGTATACGTAATACTAATATACAATATTTTATTATTATTATTAATATTATTTATTATTATACAATAATTCAAAAAAACCAAAATCAGACGAATATTTTATAATGAATAATATCGTTCTATGTGAAATAATAAGATAAATAAAATGTTATTACATTGTCGGTCATGAACTATACTAGTATTCACGATAAAATTTTCATTTTTAAATAAACTGATAGGCGATAGACAGATAAAGCGACCGTAAGTTTTTGACGTGACGTTTAATAGTTTAGTACACTCAGTACAGTACAGTTATAGGCGTTATAGCTGTAATAGGTACATAATATTTAGTACAAATTTTACTCCTTTCTTTTAAAAATATTGTTATTTTGATTTTATTCCGTTTGATTATATTTCAATATTTTTTTTAGTATAAATTGGAAGATGGCACAAATTTGTGAAACTGTTTCATCAAATAGAGGTGGTATAAAACTTGTTATCGATGGTTATATTATTGGTGCTACGAAAAAAGGAAAACTTTCCATTGTAGTGGTTATGCTTGTACCATTCTAATTTATGGTTAGCATAACTTACGAAATAAAAAAGAGCATAACCATAGCCCCGATACTACTAGAAAAGATATCATCACACGGCTGTTCATAATTTAAAACAAAAGGCTCGTGAGACTAATGACACCACGCCTGCACAATTAATACAAATTGAAACCAATGCTGTTTCTAGCCTAAGTCAACCATCGTTGCCGAATAATCATGCTTTACGTCTATACAACTAAATCTAACGTTGAACATTTGACTTTTAAAACTGTTCCGACACTTTTTCGACAACTATATACAATCCATGCTATAGTAGGAACAGGAGAAAATGCAAAAATATTGCCTCTCGTGTATGCTTTAATGACGAGTAAAACAGAAGAATGCTATATTCGCTTTTTTAAAAATTTAAATGATTTTGCAGCCGAAAATGAATTGGAGTTGAATCCTCAATATATATATTTTAAATAATTTTGAGCAAGCGGCTATAAATGCTTCAAAACGTGAATATCCGCAGATACTAATTGTATAGGTTGTCTTTTTCATGACAAAGTGTATGGCGTCAAATTTAAGCAAATTCTCTTAGTAAAAGATATGAAGAAGATAAAAAATTTAGTTTGAAACTACGTCAGATTATTGCTCTTGCTTTTCTTCCACCTACCGAAATACCAGGTGCATTCGATGAATTGAAATCTACTATTCCCGAAGAAGCTTCTGAGATAATGCTATTATTTTTTTTTTTGATTATTTTAATTGTTTGAGAACAATTATGTGCATGGTAGAATTAGAAGGATAATGAGAAGAGGTAATGTAAGTCGCGCAGCTCCCTTATTTCCACCAAAATTTTGATCCGTATTTGAGCGAATGGTGTTAGGATTTCTTAGAACTCAAAATCGCGTTGAGGGTTGGTAGTTGGTACAGACGTTTTGAAACTCTTGTTGGAAAATGTCATGTTGGTGTTTACACAATTATAGAAGAAATTAAAAAAGAGCAAATTTAAATGAAACGAACAGCCGAAGATATAATTTGTGGAAGAGCACATACTCCAACTCGCAGAGACTACGCTGAACGAGAAAACGTATTAGTGAAATTATAAATGACAGGGAAAATCGATCAAATTTATCATTTCTAAGGGGAATCGCTCATAACATTAAATTTCAAGTAATAAAATGTTTTTATTATTAATTTTTGACACAAATTTATTTATAAATTATATAAATATATAAATTATAATATAATAATCAAATCAATTTATTTATAATTTGATATTGTCGAGAAGGTATAGTATCGAGCAAATATAATGTCGGGAAAATGTACTGATCCGTTTATATAATTTATTTAAGCGTTTATTAATTCTATTTGAACTTTGAAAAATTTAATCTGATTAATTTTTCACATTACACTTATAGAATCATAAGATACATTACACGATAGGTATGCGCAATTTACCTTAAATTTATAAATATGCGCATAACCTATAGTTTTTTGACGAAAACACCAACATTGGATATTAGATAAATATAAGTTGTATTATGATGAAACAAATTATGTTCTATTAATCACTAATGTCTAATAGTATATTCTTTTCCGCGTGGTGGTCTTTGTTTTCTTACACCAAACACTGGTTGTATTATTTCGAAATTTTCTTTTTGAAAAATGAAAACTTTTTATGCGTATAGGGAACAATATAATACACGTAAATATTCTAAATTCTAATATTAACATATTTTATATTAGCCCTTATTTGGTATATAAAGTAGATAGCAGTTCATCTAACATAATTGTGAAAAAATGAATAATAAAAACAATAATAAAAGTTAAAGAGTTTGAACTTAGTTAAGATTTTTATACAAAAAAATATATCTGTATCCTGCACCTTATGTACTTTTTGAAAGAAGTTAATAAATACTTTTCGACATAATGAGCGTTTTAACATCTAACTTGTGTTTATTGTTAAAAAAATCTCAAACTGCTTAGAAAAATTAATTACTCAATTTTCGCCCAGTTCTTTTTTTAATCATCGACCCTTTTAAAAACTGTATAGTATTTTTTCCAGAAAATATTCCTTCCTGGTTGAGCGGATTAAAACACAATACAGATGAAATTACCACTCTAACTACCGCTCCTCAGTCTACTAATCATATTTTATCCACTGACAAAACAATTGATAAGGATGTCCCGCAGAAAACTGAGAAAGTTGAAAAACTTTCCGAAGAAAAAACAACTTCGATTTTATCCTTGCTTAGAGGGAAAGACAGTATCCAAACTTCCATGTTGGAATTGATTCGAGAGTTGACTAAAAAAAAACAAGACATACAACAAGCTGCAATAACATTGATTCAAGATCAACAAAATAGCGATCTCCTTATTAAAGTAACGAAAAGATTATATTTAATTAATACTTCCTAGTTCCTACCAATACGTATTGTTTATATTGTGCACAATTATCTAACATTAAATCATATACAGGCATTTTTAATGGATAATAGTTATTCTGTAATGAACCCTGATGGACAAGAATTAGAACGTTTAAGGTCTGAGAATCAAAAATTCCAACTGACGAACGATCATCTTTCAAAAAAACATGAATTAGAATTAGATGTCTTAAAGACTAAATATGAGTAAGTTTGCGAGGTATTTAAACTTTTTAATAAAATGCATGCAAAGGTACCTATTGTCTAATAACGTTAATTATACCGTACAAATCATCTTAAATAACAGTTATACTTTATTGTAAATGCATTATATTAAGTATTTGTATATGTACCTAACGGCTAATCTATAAACGTAATTATTAATTTTTCAACTTTAATTATATATTTAATATCGTAGTGATATGTAATTTAGTTTTCATCTTTAAATTGTTATGCCTATGTCGTTTTAAATGCCTATAGATTACAGCAAAATGTGTTGCATGAAAAATTAGAACGTTGTGAAGAACGCGTAAATGAGCTGGAAAAAATACGAAAAGCCGATATGACGGAACGAAATGAAAATGAAAAACGTTTAAAAGATATGTATGAAGAAAGGTTACGTATGATTCACGAAAGTCATTTAATAGATCTTAAGCAAACTACTGAAGTACAAAGAATTAAAATGAACCATTTGGAAGAAGTGGAATCCAGTTTACGTGATTCAAAGCCAAAGCGCCTAACCAGCGAAGAAATGACCGCTAGAGAAATTTCAATCGCCGCTCAAGATAAACAACTTAAAGGTTGGAACAATAATACTATAAATTATAATTGTAATTATAGTTCAAATATTATGATATACGGGCTGTATAAATTTAGTGTGCGAACTAGACTGCTTTTTAAAACAATTAAAATAATTGAGATTTTTTTTATTAATTAGCTAGTTATTATTCATTAGTTTATTATATTTATAAATTCAAAACACATTTCATAATAATAATCAAAGTATCTAGTTTTAACTCAATTGGACTGAAGTAATGAACATAATGGTAAATATACATTAAATTAACTAAAAAATTAATTTGTTTTAATTTATAAACGTAATTAGTTACCTGTTATCAGGTTGATTTTTATACTAATTTATCTACATAATTCGCTTTATTATTTATTATTGTATTTGTAGTATATTTTAGCTTTTTACTGTTAAATTTAAAAAATAATATTTTATGTTAAAATTAATAGCAGATTTTAAATTTATAATTTAAGTAAACTTAAATTTAATAATTAAATAATTTCACGATGTATCTTGGCAAAACAATAAATTTCAACTAAATTCAAAAACCGAAAATACATTTTATAAGATATGAATGATGTTATTTTAAATTGAAATAGAAGTAAAATAATGCATATCAAATTATGAAAGTTGAATAAAATAAATTGTTTAAACAATTCAAATAATGTTTTTTTAAGTTATTTAAATTAGTATTACTTTAAATTTTAAGAGTTAAATGTAACTATTAATGTATTCAAAGATGAGTAACTATTAATTTACAATTTTGGTCAACACTTGGACTAAATTAATTAATTCATTTTTATTAATATGCCCACCTATATACTTTATGGGTATAGATCTACAGGAAGAATTAAATAAGCAAATAGCTACGTTGGAAGGAGAAAGGTCGGCTCTTCAAATGAAAAACGAAGAATTCCAATCAAGAAATCAACGGGAACGAAACGAACTAGAACTCTTAAATAAAGAGCTAAAACGATCTAGAAAGGCGTTTGAGGATGGTCGTAAAATTTGGGAACGTGAGAAAAAATCAGAAACACAATACATTGAAAATAGGAAACAAGAGTTAGAGGTAAGATACATGATGTGAATAGTGAGTAGTAAGTATACATTACTATACTTAGACTATAGTTTGTATTTTTCAATTTATCCAGGATGTTCGAACGTCAGTCATTGATGAACAGCGCAAATTAGCAGAAGAACGTTTTGAGGTGGCTTCGGAGCGATATAAACTCGAAACAATGCTCAAATTAGATGTCGGTACAGGAACCGACTTAATACAAGCCAAAGTAGAAGTGAAAGAAAGTTTTAAGGAGTTAAAAAGAAAAGAAAAAGAATTGGACAAACGATTAGAACACGCTAAAGAACTGGAAAAACGTTTAGCGGAAGAAAAAAACAGATTACAAGAATTAGACGATGAAATTAAAATGAAATCGATTCGTGCGGAAAAAAATGTTTAAGGTGAATATTTAACATATAGTATGATCTTAGAGTTTAAGCTTATAGGTCACAATCTTAACCTCCTGATTATAAATTATATTTGATAAGTTTGTTAAAATACATATTGCATACATTTATTGTAATTAATATTTCCCAATTTTTTAAAACTCAAGATAAATTAAATGTTTTAGTAAATGTTAGAAATTATAAATATATAGGTATTAAATATTAATAATTAATATATCAGGTTGCTAACACGTTACAAATTATTTTTTATAAACCAACCTAATTCTTTTTTTTTTTTTAATAGATGGCACTTTCAAAACAAGAAGAAGGTTTAAAGGCTTTGGAGAATGCAAAAGATATTCAAAATAAGTTTGATAAAAAAGGTAAAGATATTCATAATCGACTATTGGACGTAATAAAACGCGAAGAAAATCTTGTCATGGTGAGTATTGTACTCGAAACAATAGTAGAATAATTTATGATACATAATTTAATTTTTAGGAAGAAACTAAAATAGTTAAAGATAAAGACGAGTTAAGCAAATTACGAAAAAAACTTGATCTAGTTCTGCCTCAACTGTCCGGGGATGAAATGCGTTTTTTAGATCCAAATTTAAATAAATATGAAGCTGAAAAGGAAGTATACTTTAAGAAAACTCAATTATACTAACTGTAAGCTTGATATTAAATGTCGATTCATACATTTTTCATTAAATCTTAAGATTTATAATACGATATCAGGTAAACGGTAGGTACAAAATACAAATATATCAGTCATTATGAATATGATTTATATATTAAATTATTTCATTACAATACCTTCCTCTATTTTTATTCTTTTTGTTTACCAGTTACCATATACTAACATTTATTCACCAATAACTTTATACAAATAAAATAAAAATTAAATTAAATAGTGACCTACAAAATAAAAGCCTATATAAAGTTAATAATTCCACTTATGTGAGTTACATTATCTATCTCTCTATTTAGATCTACAAATTAAAATCATACAAGAAACCATTACTTACTTCAAAAGATATCCATGCTAGATTTCTTTCACATCCTAACCTCCTTAGATCTAACTTAGCCAGAGCCCAATTTAGGTGAACGGGGTAGGGGGACAGCAGCCCCAGGCCCAAGTATTATATTAGCCCCAGGCCTCTAGATGTTGATTTTTAATTATTAAAAAAGACACTGAAATTTTATGATATTATTGCTTACATAGTTTCATTAGTAACGTATCGTAATGGAATTTATGATTATTCTCTAATCGACAAAATAAGCTAGGTATTAAGTTTTAAGATAAAGTTGGTCAAAAGTATTTTATCATTATGATCAAGTTAGCATTGGGTATAGAAATATCACGGATTTTCTGTTTTTGCGAGTGCTCAGATCTTATCTAAATGCGGGTATAAAACAAATTCAAAATTAGAGCTAAATGAAAACGCCAGTAAAGAACGTCCCTTCACCAGACACCAAGAAAAATTAAACTCACTCATTATTCTATCTCTATCTGAGAGAAATAACAAACACGCTTGATTTTTCAAATCTAATTCAAAAGTTTAATGAACTAATATCTAGAAAAAAAACCGTTGTCTTAAATTCTAAATCATGTAAATTATTTTATTATTTACATTGACTGTGTTGAAAAATGCATTACCAACCATTTTGACTTTATGTACAATGTACATGATGTATGTATATCTGTAAATATTTGTTTAAATTAAAAACTGTACCTATACTTCTTTACTTATATTTATCTTTTTCATTTCATCGTTTTATTTATATTAATCATCATTAAATAATTACTTATAGACTTATGATATAATTTATTTATAATCTTTTAAAATAAATTGAATATAAAAATCTATATAGTAAAAAGGCAGAATTTATAATTTAGAATTTAAATAATAATTAATAATTAATTTTGGGGCTCCAAAATTCCTAAGTTGGGCTCTGAACTTATCCACGCTCACAATTTCAAGATGATTAAGAAGAAAATGGTGCAAAAACTTTCTAAACTAAAACTTAAAAAAATAATAATAATAAAATACAAATTAACTGGTAGTTTTTTTATTACTGGGTGGCTTCTTCCTATAAATGTTCATATATTATATTATTAGCACATATTCTCATTGTACTCTAGGGCACAGATTTGTGCATACCTTGTAAAAATAAAAATAAATTGAACAATGACCAAATATTACTAGAGTAAAAATTTACCCAAGTCTAACTAAATACACGCCTACAGTTCATATCGAGTTTCTAATGTAATATAACTGACTACAGATAAATTTATATATAGAATCGTTTCCAGTTATCATATTAGGTTTTATTGTAGTATTCATTATCTCTAATTATTGTGCGTTATACTTTGTACACAAATATATGCAACGTAAATTAATGTTGTTAGCCATTATTTTTATTTATTAAACTTATATTTTGTAGTTTAATAGATAATTTATATTTTAGAACCCCACAAATTATTTAGTTTTTCAATATTTTAGCATCACATACTACTTACAGGTATATATGAATATAAATACGTAGACATTTATTATTATAATTTGTTTTTATATTTCTATATAAATTGTAGATAATAATTTACAAAAAAATGTATAATAATAATAATAATAATAATAATGTTTTATAATAATAATAATAATAATAATAATAATACGATTATAAATAAAATAAATTATAAAAATTAACGTGAAATCAATATTAAAAATGTATACGCAAATAAATCATAAGTTACGAAGTGAGGTTGAATAATTTAAACAAGTAATATTTTTAACAAGTATTAACATTAACTATTTAATATTATCTAACAATGATGAGAACATGTTTTTTCAAAAGCCTATTTCGTTAATTTTTTTTTTTTTTTTGGAATGATTTTTAAATTGATTATTTATAAAATATAAGTATTTTATACCTGGGTAGTAAATTTTCTATCAGAATATAGCAAAGCCCATCATTGTTTTCTTATAAAATACTGCTATAAAGGAAAAGGGTATTTAATTGGCACATTACATGCCATAGCCCTGATAGGGTAAAGTATTTGAAGTTGCATATGGGGCTCCGCTTGGGGGTACATAAGGTTGCTGTGAAGGAGGAGTTCCTTGATAGGACGGCGAATACATATTACCCATAACTGACGGACCGGCTGTCAACATTAGTTGTGGTTCAGCTATATAAGTAAAAATGATAAAATTTAAAACTGGAACATAAATAAATATTTCAATAAAACGTACGTATCATCATTGGTTTGATATCTTCTTCTTTGTGTTCTTCCAATCGCTTGGATTCGGCTTCTTCTAACTTATCTACCTTAGCAACATATTCTCTAGTGACTTGAATAAGGTAAGGCATAGCAAAGTCCATGATTTTATGCCTCCACGCTAGTTCCAATACAATGTCTGGGTGCACAAGATCATAACATTGGAACAAAGCAGCTGCAAAACAATCGTAGTTTCCACGTTCTAAGAACCACGTAACTAGTTCTTCAGCTACTTCTGAATTTTTTGATTCTGCCGCATATTCCATTGCATCCTAATACATGTCATAATAAATTGAATGGTAAATATATTTCTTAATACTAACATCAAATATTAATAATAACCACGTACCTTATATAATCGGTCTTTCTTGCACAATTCCACACTCTGCTTCCACCTATTATTTCCTTTGTATAAGTAAGCAGCTATGCGTCTAAACTCTGTAAGTTCATGTTTTTCGAGTTTTTGGGCAAGTGCAATAGTGTCAAAATTATCAAAAGCATCAATAGACGTTCGTAGACCCTATAAAAACAAACATAATCAATCATGTAAACTAGAAATAATAGTTAAAAAATTACTTGGTAGTCTTCCTCATCAATCAGTAAGTTATTTAATGCTTCATTTATAGCTTTATTATTTAAAGATTGCACAGAACGCAAATAGGTTTTGACTAATTGCAAATGATTTGTCTAAAATAAAAATAGAAAAAAAAATGTATTAAACTACAATTAATAATTTATTTAGATTAATAGTATGTACCTTAGTGAAATAGGCAACACCTCTAGTGTGGTCCATTCTTGGTGTCAACACTAACAACAAGTCGTTGAGCAGAAGCGGTTTATAATCAAGATAAAATTGTATTGCTTTGTAGTATAACTCTAAATTAGCAACCTGAAAAATAAATCAACATTATTTATTACATATTAGTTATTAGTTAAAAAGAAACAATTATGAATAGTTAAACCAAATTAAATTTCATACCTTTGTAATAATGTCTTTAAAATGACTCTCTCTCCATGCTTCAGTTGGATGATTCATCATGGCTAATACCGCATTATCATATTCTTCATATTTATCATATAAAAACACTAACTCTGACCATAAATGAGCTTGTTCAGCCGCTCGTAACACTTTAGGGATATTAACACGAGACCAAAAGAGTTCTAAATGCTCCTTCATCTTGGCAGGTTTATATTTGGAATACAAAATAGCCAATTCTGTAAACATGCCCATATGTGCACGTTCCAATCCCAAAGCTGCTTCTAGAAGATTAATAAGTTCTTCAAAATAACCACGATCCTGGATAGATAAAGAAAAATGATAAGTTGTTATATTATGAGAAAAAAATAATTATTTATTTTATATTACTTGATAGTAGTTAATTAAGTCTTCTAGTTCATCAGCATGAACAACAATGTGCAGACCACACATTTGTGCTAATCTAAACTCATTATTATCAACACAAGCAAAACACACTTCTTTCCATGTTCTTGTGCTATTTGCTTTACGGGCACTATCAACAGCACCCTGATATTCTTTAAGATGTACAAGTGTAATAGCTAAGCGTGCAAAGTTTGAGACGTTGTTATATAACAGCTTAGCTGGTTCATACATTTTGTCTTCAAAACACCTATCACCGATCTGTAAAACAAAATTATTATACAAAACAGAATACAACATGCTACATGAATATTAAAATTAACCTTTTGAATATCAGCATGATTTGGTCCAGAAATAAATTCCTCAAGGTCTGCAAGGCGATTTGTTTTTGCATAAGCGTAGATTAATTCACTTTCAATATAAGATTCTCGAGCCTTCTTACGTGACATTTGTAAATAACGTACAAGATCTTCCCAACTTCCTATAATCAAAGTAAAAATATATGAATGAATCATTCTTAAAAATTGTAAATTATTTGTAAATAATATGTTTTATAACCAAGTACCTGTTTTGTGTGCAGTCTGAACAACATCCATGTATGCACTTGGATCATCAGCTTTAATAAACGAGTCAATAGCTTCTTTAACAAACATACTTTGTAGTTGAGATTTTGCCAATAAACTCCAAACCCCAGGTTCATTACAACGTTCGGCAAATTCATAAGCGCGATCAAGATTTTTCACGTTATCAATAAGTACCTAAATAAATAAATACAGAATATTTAAATTATAAGTATTTTCCTAAATTAAAGTTATTTTTTTCAAAATCTTACTTGAATAGCAGATTGATTAACATTAAACTTCTTAAATATTGCAAAAGCTTCTTCAAATAGTTCATTGTTAATAGCAATGGATGCAATATCAGGAGCATCATAGTTGTCTAAACGATTAATATAATCCATAACACGAGTTCGGTCAGCTTTAACAGCTGTTAAAATTAATAGATTTTGCAAGTTTCTAAATTCATATGAAAAGAAAAAATTATTATTTTATTTATAATTAAAAAAAAAAAAAAAAAAAACTAATAATTTTAATAAGTATTTACCTATGAGAACTGAATAATGAGTTATCAAATACAATTTTTTCGAGTAACTCAATCAGTTCATTGGGCAAATCAGCAGTCATGAAAGCCTTCACAGTTACTGATATGTCTTCAGGATCCTGAGTTTCAGATAAAGCTGTTTGAACAACTTGATCAATAAGTGGACGACGATAGACATTATTTTCATTCAATACTTCCAACCACAACTCTGGATTACGACGTCTCACCAAGTATCTAGCTTCAGATTTAAAAAGACTATTTTCATTACAGACATTTATCAATTCTAAGTCACATTTTCCTCGTTCATAAGCCACACATGCTAAATGTGGATCACGCTTTTCACAGTACTTGCCCACCACACGACTATCATAGAACTTATTCTCTCTAAAAAAAAAAAAAAAAAATTAGTTTATTGTTATTTATAATGTTATAAACTGCATACTTTAAATATCTTTCTGGATTGTTGTTGCTATCAATATAAATCTTAGCGAGAGCATTATGAGTTGCAGGTTCTTCACTACCATCATGAACACGTAATTCTAACCAAGATGACAAAAGTTTAAGACGATTACGTTTCTCCACTTCTTCTACTAATTCATCAGTAGAGAATTCTCCTTTTACAACTTGAATAAGATTTTTGATTATATCTTCCGAACAATCTACATCAAGGAGTCCACCGACTACAACTGGGAGACGTGATGGATTCACTTTTTGAACATATATCTCAATATATTTTTGTAGATTATTTCTATATAAATACAGCACCAGATCGTGTACAAAATTAAATCGATCACACACAATGATTAATGGCAATTGATCAGTAAGCTTAGCTTCCTTTAAAAAATTCTTAACCCTTTCTGCATTATAACATGTAGATTCCCTACATATACGCTCCACTTCCTTAATTTGTCCAGTTTTGCAAGCAGCCTGTAAAAAAATATTAAATATTTAACAAAAAGGTAATATATTATTTTTATATTGTTAATAATAAAATACAAATTTAAAAGTTATTGTAATACGCATTATTTGAATTTGAGTACTTATAAAAGATAATAAAAAATAAAATAACTAAACAGATGAATTTATTAAGTATACATACACATTAATAACTATAATATATAGATTTTATAACTTACTGAAATATATTTAAAATGCACTTCTGGATCTTGACTAAAGTTAACAATGGATCCCAAGAAGTAAAATAATCCTTCATAACTTTTAAATGATTCAAATAAATCAATCAATGCCTTGGTTGTCAATTGTTCATGGTATTTGGTTGCAATCTAGTAACAACACAAAAATTAAATATAGCATAGGTATTTTTGTATTTTAATTGTAAATAATTTTAGGTAATTACTTTAACACAAATTTGAAGGTTTTGACGTATGTTATTAGTTAACATGGCTTTTAAACATTCCAAAGAATCTTCAACACTTAAGGACCCAAAGTAACCGATTAACCATTCAGGATTTAACAACTGTGTATGTACAACTGCTCTTTTTATATCATATAAGTCTGTATAATGTTCCAGAGCTCTTTGCAAAAGTCCAGCTTTTTCACACAGTTGGGCAACATGAGCTCGATCGTAATGAGTAAACATTTGGTTACCAAGAATAGCGTCAGCAACTTGTGGGGCAGATATTAAATTCATTTCAAGCAAACGTGTTTGTAGTGGACCTTCAGCTTCACGGTTATGTTTTAATGCTTCTAAGAGGAATTTAGTACATTGTTGAACCATGCTTTGCTCGATAAATATATCCACTATCTAAATTACAATTATTAAATAAATATAAATTTGTTTTTTAAACATAAATAAAAAGATTCAAAAAATTGTTCAAATTATTAATCACGTACTTGATTAATATTAGCGAGAGGTTCAGCATCATCAGATAGTAACATTTGGGCAAATTCAACAGCATGATCAGGAGTAGTACGTAATACTACATTTCTGAATAAATGTATATAATCTGGTACATAACTTATTTTTTGAGAGTACAATATAATTTTCTGATACTGGCCAGTCTCAGCAAAACATTGAACAACCTAAATTAAACAATTATATGAAAATGTATATTAAATAATTATAAATTTAATGATAAGTACTTTTGGAGGAATGTTTGCTCGCAGATAAACTGACAATGCTAAAGAAATATCAGCAGTTTTAACCAAATCTCCTAATTCTTCAGAGCATTCCAATTTGTCTTCTTTTAGCCACTTTTCTAATAATTGCCTTTTATCTTGTGCGAGAACTGGACGACAAAGTTCCAGAGATTCATATTTATTCAACTTGCCCTAAAAATATTCAAATAAATAATTAAAAAATTAATTTATTAGTATAAAATTGAATTTTGAATATAAAACTGAGAAGTATACCTGGTCTAGTAATATTCCAAAGTATTGAAGTAGAGGAGATGACTGATTTGTAGCAGTTGGAACCTGTTGGAATTTTTGTATGGTAGAAGGCGTCCTGAGGATGCCTTTAGGTGCATTAGCAGCTACTTTAGCGGCCTCTGCGTATTGGGCATTTTGGAAAAGCATGTTAAACTTGCGTACAAAAAGTTCTTCTGCACCTGACAAATTATTTCGAACAGCCATACGTAAAGCAAGTTCTGGATGTTGAAGTACTGTATTGATGTATGGTATTATGTTATCTTCTTCAACACTGACAGATAATACTTGTCCTTTACGATTAACACCTATTATACCACCAGTGGCATCATGTGGAGCAGTTACAAAAATTGTATCTCCACTAATACGGTTCATATAGATGCAAGTAGCTGTTTCAATGTCGTATAGATGAATATAGCCGTACTTAGTGATAAGATATATTACATCAAATTTGGAGCTAACTTGCATTGCAACTGGAAAATCATTTTGTGCTTCGGGGGGAAAGAAAACTTCCACCTGTTTTTTGGGAAACGGTTGATTACCTCTTGGTGTTTGAACTACTTCAACAATGTGTAACTGCAATATAAAACATTGAATTAGAAACATATTTTATTTGAAAAATGTATTTTAAAATTATTTTAATTACTTTTCCTCCAGCAGCTGTACGTGCAGCAAAACAAAATAACGTAGACATTTCTCTATTTCCTTCCATTTGGAATCTTGCAAATGATGCTGCATGGCCTTCAATAGGTTGTGAACAACTTTTTTCTACAGAGTATAATTGCATAGCTCCAACAACTCGATTTTGCTAAAATTAAAAAAATAATTATATTTCTCTTCAAAAGGGTAGAAAGAAAAATAATACTTGAGCTGAAATTCCAATGAGTAATAGCCATTGTTGTTTATGATCTGTTCTATAATTAATTATTTGACATCCATTCAATGTGGAATGACGATCAAACATTTTAACTGGTGTAGAGTCTCCTGAAAATACATTTAGTTTAAAAATATATTACATTTTAGATTTAAAAAAAAAAAAGAATTACCTTCCATACTCCAATGAAATACTGATGTTTCTGTAACAAGAGCTAATGTATTTGGAGAAATCCATTTCCAAAAAACTACATCATCTTGCATAATGTGAGCTTTCATTTTACTCTTCATTTCAATATTAAAAATCTGTAAGGTCTTTTGAGCTAAAAAATAATTGTATTTTTTATAAAAATATTATTAAATCAAAACAAAGCTATTAGTAATTCTTACATGCAGCAGTTCCTTCAGTACCAGCTTTTCCTTTAAGTGCAATCACTTTGCTGGCTGGATTCATGATGGCTGAATCTGCGGATATTGGACGCCTAATTGGATTTTGAGGATCAGCCATATCAACAATAACAACTTGTGCAACATCACCAGTTTTTTCACGCACACAGATGTATTTATCTGATTCCATAGTAAGTGTATTGAAACTAATGTTTGACTGATTAATACCCACATTTGTAAGCTACAGAAAAAAATACAACAGAAATTTAAAAAAAAATCTTTTTAGGTAGATTAGGTAAATGTTGGAGTTTAAAGTTCAAGCATAATAATTGTAGGTACTAATAACTGTTGAGTACTATGAATCACTTAATCACTTATTATAATTCCATCTTATATCAAACCTACAAAAACACAATAATCTAGAGATAATGTACCTATCATAAAATTCCCCTTGACCCACATTTAATTGGATTAAAATGTAAAACTTAATAATATCAACAGACACAACGCAGCAGCAGCAACAATAAATGGAATACTTAAAAGTACAATAAACACACCAGTCATCAGGATTCTACACAAAAACCCGACATCTGGCAGGTGATAAGCATACGTGAGCTGTCATTAAATAGTTAATTTTTCCTAGATAAAAAACAGACAGAAAAAAGCTAAAAATTGAGGGGTGTGGGGACGACCGTCAACTGGTTATACCCACTATATAATTACCTCATCGCCTACTTACTATTATTAAAAGAATATTGATGTTAATGATCATCACAGATCACTGATAAAATATTAGTTATTGTATTTTGTAACGCGCTAACGGCGCGATAAATCATGTAACCTATTTATATGAGACGGGCGGATCACACGCGATAGGGTCGGCGGCGCAGAAATGTTTGGGTTTTTACCAGCACCATCGTTAGGGTCATTTTAAAAATACACGTAACAATCAAGCGTCTGGTCTATTTCTCTGGGCCAACCGTAGACAAGAGACCCAACTGCCTGCAAAGGCGAGATCAGTCCCTACACCGATGGTACAATGAATACAGAAATTTTTATTTACCTGTAGGTGTTCCTGGAACTTGATAGGTAGTATCTGCGCCATTTCGATTACGTTTGGTTTGTGAACTTGTTATTCACGAATCGCGAAATTATCACGGTCGATTGAGTCGACGAAAAGACTAACGACAGTCCAGCACTTTCCTTAAGTGCACAAATGTAGGAGGAGCACTTACTGATAATGACTATGTATATGTATTTTGACGTGTATGTGTGAGTATGTGTATTGGAAGCGCACGATAAAACACTGGATCGGTCGGTTTTTATTTCACACAGTTAAGTCGTGTCCGCGTGCGCTAATGTAACTTGAGTTAAAAAAACTTTCAGCGGGCGGCACGATTAGCCGACATTAACGTGACTACGGTATTAAAAATACGTTAATGATCGTATTCAGTGGTGACGAAACGTAAGACAATAACAATTTAAGAAGTATAAAATACGATCACTATTCACTATTTATTACTGTTGAAGTGTTGACGGCAGCGGTGGACTTTGATACACCGTGTATTGTAATTTGATAAATTATAAGAATGGGACAATATTCGTATTGTCGCAAGCTCGGTCCACGGTTCATATCGCGAATCGCGCAGGCGAGCGGAAAAAAAAATAATGTGTTGAAAGGGTTCAACTGTTTAAGCAAAACAGAAGGGAGGGAGTGCCACATAAACAGCCTGAACAGTGTGCCGTTAATGAACGACTTGAAATTCCCCCAAACCATCTTCGATTATGCAATGATGAAGTGCTGGTGGGCGGTGTCCATGTTGAACAGCGCATTCAGCGCTCGGTCGGCACTTCGGCAGTGTCCGTCGTTTGTCGGTACTTTGTCTCTGGCCTCTACTGCCTCTGTGGTTACTGGTTATTACTTGACACTTGTCCGTGTTCCCTCCCTACGTCGGACATCCTCACTCCACACCACGGCCACAGTCCACATTCGTCATTTTCGTTCTACTCGGTCAGTCGTCACGTGGAATGTTGAAAATTAAAATAAAGATTAACACGTCTGATTTGCTTAGTGTGTTGAACATTATTACGTTCCACATCCACAAATCCGCTGTTCCATGATACATGACGCTTGTCATGTATTATATTAGTATGTTATCGCAGTATGGTTGGCACTCGAGTACTCGACAGACGATCAGAATTATTAAAACTATATTATATAGCATATACAGAGTCGTTACAACTATTACAAGCTTATTTGACGCCTGAGGCAAGTTTGAATATATGCTTCTCTCTTCAACAAAAAAAAAATCCTATCATTTTGAAAATTTTAAGCTATTACATATTTGTTTATTAGAGAATCATGTAATAACCAACAAATTTTATTTTAAAATTAATTTTAATTGACACAAAAAAATAAATCTCATAATTTTACTTTTCTTGATTTGATTGCCGCAAATTTATTAATATCATCTTCAATATCAATTTCTCCAGCAACTTCATATTTTCTATCGATAAAATAGCTAAACTCGAAAGTCTCTCTTGGCCCATATAGTTGATCTCAAATAATTCTTAATGAATTTGTGTTTGCTAAAGCAATTTTTGTGGATTACACATTTATGCTTGATTTTAATAAAAATTTTAAATAGTTTATGAGAAAAAAAAAACAAATTTTTATTTAACTCATATGCGCCCCTTACTTATCTGCGCCCATGTCGCCAACCTCTAGTTACGATACTGATTATATAAGAAAAAATAATGAGTGTTATATGAAAGATATCTCATATTTACAGTTTACAATTTATAAGGAATACTTTATTGACAGATCTTATTTTTATATTAATAAAACTGAGTATAATGTACACAATATATGAATAGCTTATTTAAATAATGTAGCATTATATTCTACAAGATATGCTTAAGTTAAACTAAAATGCATGCATGCTCAAAAAATCTTTATTATCAACATTTGTTAAGATAATAATTAAATTTGTCACATTTTTTTATTTCTCTATACTTACCACTCTTTTACTTTATTATAAATTTAATACATGTGAGTATTTAGTTATAATTTTATATATCCTGCTGTGTATCTTTACATGATCCGATTAATTTGGTTTTTATCGCCTTCATATCTGTTCTCTCACTAACTTAATAGGCTTTTGAAATTAGAAATATTAAGGCCAAATTACTTAAGATAATATAAATATTTGAACACATGATAAAGTTATTTCTACGAGTCAGACTTTTATAGTTTACATTTTAGTCACTGACTCAACATGTCATCAAAAATTGAAAAATATAATAAGTACGGTTTCTTGTATAGGTAAATACGTAATATTGGCACAAATATTTGTTGTAAAGTGTAAATAAAGGCGAAAATATGAAAATTTCAGTTGGTTAAACTGCTTTTATACATTGTATTTTCCATTTAGTAGTTAACTATTTTAACTATAAAACTAAATAACTATTTATACAATATGATTAGTATTGGATTTAAGCCGTTGATGTCTAGAACTAATAAAAATTCAGCGCCTTTACTTGGATAAAACTATGCAGTGTGCCGGGTGTCAACATAAGATGTTTTAAGAACAAATGTTTAAATTCAAAACAAAAAGTATATTTTCATTTAAATCATTTTCATGTATGTTATATTATATACTTTTATAACAAAATCGTCATGTTTAAATAAAATAGACAAGGAGATACTAGGTACTCAATAAGAGCAAATGAACAATACCATATATTCGTCGTAATTCAAGTTTCAACATTAAAATAATATAGAATTATCGTCAGTCAACGGATTGGGTTTCTCCGAAAACAAACTGATAAAAACTTGGTAACTATATTAATAAATTCATAAAAGACGTCAACTCCAGGCAAAAATAGTTTTAACTTTAAAGATAAACTTAATTTATAATATTAAATTTTTAAATATCGAATGTTTAATATTGATTTTTTCTTGATGCAAATTTGGAAATACGTTTTAATATCTACATATTTCTTTAAATATTTCATGTTCATAGTTTTTTATTTTTATTTTCATAAATTTAAGAGCGCCCTTATATCAACAGAACTTGAGCAAGGATACCCACTTGCCCCCTCCCCGGGATCAATGGATCTGGAACTTAGTATAGTCGAGGTAAATCCACGAATTTAACATAATTACCTATTGTTAGAAATCAATTCAAAATAAAAATTATATAATTTGTAAATTCTAAATAAAATTATTATTGCTTCAATAAAAAAAAAGATAGGTATATTTAAAAAAAAAAAAAAATTATTTCATGATTACTTTTATGATATACATTTATTTAATCAAAACAAAAAAAGGACCTATTAAATGTCATTCAATTTATATTAAAACAAATACAATAACATTATTGAAATAAGAAGTTAAGAGTAAGACTAAACTAATTTAAACTATGATTTGCTTAACTATGGTTAAAAATATCTAGCCTGTCCCAGAAATTAGAATAACTTTAAATCAAAAAACATTTTAATAATAAGGAAAGGAATGCTCTTTTGCAATTAGAAATAATTTTATATGGTGCCGAATCCGAGTCTTAAAAAAGTGATGAAAGGAAATATTTGTGTTCGAAACTCACATAGTTTTTATAAACTTGATATTCACAATTATTATTTATTAGTGTAATTTTATAACGAAACACGTCCCCTTAATAATTTTTATTTGTTAATATTGGTTTGAACAATTTATTCGCAACTAAATAGTATACGTATAATAGTAGGTATCATTGATTATAGAATAGAACCTATTGTAATTTGTAAAATCTATTCTATAATCAATGGTAGTATGTAGCTGTGGTGTATACATAGCTTTTGTATTGACGGAAGGGGGCAGCAAATGAAAAATAACATAATTTATCTGTACTTATGTATTATAAAAGAGTGATTTAAGGAATTTCAAATATCCTAAAACAAATAGTCTACTACACTTAAAGGTCTAATTACACTCATTTTTAAGGAGTTTTATAAATTACCTTGATATCATGTAATGTAAGTAATGTATATACTATATATAATAATTCAAATAATTCAATTATAAAACTGTCTTTCTGCAATTCTTTTAAATATATTTATATATTTCTTCTTCAGCATTAGCAGTGACAAGAATTTTATGTTCTACTATCTGCGTTTAGACCCGACTTAACAAGTTAGGGGCAGTGTTCAGTGATTAAATATATTGTCTATATCTATTGTGCTTGGCATTTTTCAAATAATGAAATAAACACCCAACATTGACGTACCAACGTGAAAGGAACTGATACCCTGATTATCATTATTTTGTTAGTAATCTATACGTTGTGGTTTGATGAAAATGTGCAGTCATTTTAATACTTAATAACAGTGATAAATGTGTAATAAAATGTTCTATAATCTATGTATCGTGTGGACAATAAAAATGAAACTTAAAAGTTTATAAAGTTTCTTTATTGTTGAATTATATAAGCTCTTTTCAACATGGTTTTCTACTAAAATATTCCATTCTCATTAATTATAAAATATTGTGTTGTTACTGAGTCACATTTTTTTTTCTTCAAGAAGTTAATAAAATTAAAAACTGTTCACACAAAAAATATTCATTTATTTTTTTGTATTATTGAGTAATTTATAAATTGCTACAAAATTAATAATTTATAAAATCGTTAATATATTTTCAAAGACATCAAATTGCAAAAGCCAAAAGAGATTAAAAAAAGAAAGAACCGAAAATAGATTTAATAATTAGAACTATCGAGTTGAAAACTATAGGTAAGAGTACACTAAAAAGTTTGTGTGAAAATAGATGTGAGAAGGATTCAACTTGATATTAAAGAAAGTAGTAGATATCAGTAGAAGAAAGAGACGAATGAAGAGGAATTAGCAGAATGGTCTCAATGATCGAATATACGGGAGGTACTTTTTTTTGGGGGGGGGGGCAGTCAGGAGGCCAAAAAAAATTTCCTTTATACACTCGCATATTGCGTATAAGACAAAAGTACAAAGATCTACAATAAATTGAGCTTTAACCTAAAATTAATAATTGATATAGTAATCAGTACATATCTCTATCAGTTTCAATATTCAGATTTAGATCACTACCTTTAAATCGCCTAAGACTATAGTGATAATTGTAATAGTAATAAGTAATAACTAATAATTAGTAGGTAGATGATATTATATTGAGAATTAATATCATGAATAGTACAATATAATCCTTTAAAATAAAAATGCTTAAATACGCCTTCTTAACCTCAACAATCTGCAGTGATACAATACCCTGCAAATTATAATATGGTTATATAATAGATTATGATTTTATTTTAATTATATCAAAGGATTTTCTAAACTTCTATTCATCACTTTTTTATAATAATTGTAGTCTGGAATAACTAATTCCAATTTCAATCTCCGTTAAAAGACTTACATTTTAACAAAATTGATTAAAACTAAATTAAATGATCGTACCTACATAATCTTAAAAATGCAATGAAAGTAATTTTAAATACAATAATTGTTCACAATTTATTTAACAATGTACATAATTATGCTTATGTTGATGAAAAAAAATTATCATTTCCTTTTATGGCCTGTTTTGTGCAGAGACGAACTGAGACCCATTCGATGTACTGTTTTGCAAAAAAAAAAAAAAAATCGGAGTAATTAACATAAAAATTATTTAATTCTTTAATTTTTTAGTTTTCCAGTTCGTCATTTAAGTAAGAAATGTTTGTATTATTTATTGTGTGATTTAACTTCCCTTAATTGCGTTATAAATTTACTGTAAGATAAATTTTTTTTTCTTTTTTCTAATGCCTCTAAAATAATTCATGTTCAAAATTTACAAATTACTATTTAATAATTATAATTAAATAATATAAAAATAAAAATATAATTCTATACGTCATGTCTCCAATTGCCGAAAAGGTTTTGTCTTGATCAGGGGTTTCCTCTACCTTTTATTTTTACTATTTTTTCCAGTATTGGATAATTAGACATATTATACATTTCTGTGATTAGATAGTAAATTACACCGCGATACATTTATTGATAATTAAACTGTTATAATTAAATAGGTCCAATAGGTGCATGTAGTACATAATATTTGTTTATTTATGGGCGGTAATTATTAGCTATAGAACATCTTTGGACCCTGACACTGATAACCATTATCTCGACCTAGGGAAAACCGTTATTTTATTCTTCAACGGTTTTCTTTTATTTACATTGTTGAATAATAATAATTGTCCCCAGACCCCAGTTTCTCCTCGTTCAAATCACCCCCTTGGTATTTCAAATCAAACCCCTTTTGGTTTTTGGCGCCCAATTTCTCAATTACCGTTTATCCGTCTTTTAGTTAGGGTCTCATAGGTAGTACGTTATATAGATATAGTGATTGTAGTTTGTACCAGTGCAAATTTGACGGTTAATTTTTCTGTAATAATTTTTTGTTTTGTTTCATATAAACAATACTATATTTTTAATTTAAAATTTTGATTTAAACCCCATTTTATTCTTATATATATATTTTATTTATATCTGATTTATCTACTATCGGCGTGACTCAATTATGTCGTTTGTGAAGAGCAAAATTAAGCGATTTAACGAAGTATCAAGTAAGTAACTAACTGCATTAAGTACGTTAATAGTCTGTTCTCAGTACTCATAATAGTAATTATGAATACTCACTAGAAAATTGATACAAATTAATGATGTTATTCTGTTGTTAATTAAGTACTTAGTTAAACTTTTATTGGAAATAGCTCTTAATATTTAAACTATGTGTACCTACTTAATTTTTTATTAAAATTTGGAATAAACAAGTTAGTTAGGCTATATTATTTAGGTTACAGGTTATCTACTTTATTTTAGTATGTGAAAATACGTTAGCATATTTATATTTTATAATAATTTGTCTATAAATTAGCTATAAGAATCAATTATCCATAATATAATATAACATTTAATTCAAAAAGATTCCTGCCTACAATACCAACTGATGTACGTATATTATATGTTTTAATATTATCATGTATTTTGTTAGTAACCAATTTTACATTTTATTATTAGTAGTTAAAACATAATATATAGGTAATCTGTTAAATATTTTTTATCTTTCTCAAGTCTTCAATAATTCCTTAAAAAACAAGTATAAACCAAAATAATAGTTTTACCCCTTTGGTATGTGTTCCATACAATTGCAATATTTGTATTTAATGTAGTCTGCTCTGTTTAAAGATTTGCTATTAAAGTTAAAACGCTTGTAAATTATGATATTTTCATATTAGTAACCATTAACCCTTATATCGATTACATTCTTCAATATTGCATCTTATATTAACCCAACATATTATGTAAGGCATCCTTTTGTTTTAAAACTATTACAATGATACAATAAGAAAAAAAATATTGATTGTATAAGAGAATACTTGGAAAACAAACAAATCTCTTATAAATAAATTAACCTATTGTTAATAACTAATTTTCAAGTATAAATTTATAAAATATATTTGCTATTTTTAGGTTGTGCACCACCACCTGGAACATATGATCCAAAAAGTCCTTGTCCAAAACTCATTAAAGGTTCTAAATTTGACAAAGCAGAGAGATTTAAAGAACCTTCTGTCCCTCAAGTAAGTATAATTTATTAATTTTGTATTATTATGTTATTTGTTGAATATAATTAATATTGGGATTCGGTCCAATGTATGTTCTACTGACAATTTTGTAGTCTAACAAATTACCATTTATTTAATATGTTACTTAAAATAGTAATATATTTACTATAATATTGCCTATTTAGTTTAAAAGTGTTCTTTAAATTTGATAATAAATATTAAATATATTTGATTTTTTATTGGGTAACATAATTACCACCATTATTTTAGTTGTTACCTATTGGTTTTATAATAGAGAGACACCATTTATTTTTATGATATACTTGGTCTTAACTAACTTCACAATGATTTAAGACTTCCATTTACTTAGAAACTCCAGTATTTAGACCTATAAAATTATCTCTGATTTATAACTTGGTGAATAAATCTATGGGCTTTTAGAGTACTATATTTTCATCATTTAGCATTTCTCTTTCTCTATAATCAAAAAAAGTATTTATTAATCTCTTTTTTTTCATAGTGAAATATCAATGTTCAGTTTTGTTATCACAATTACAACAAATTCTTTTTTTTCTTTTTAGTAATATATAGGTGCATACACATAACAATATTGGGGGGGGGGGGGGGTTGTAAATTTTTATTCTTATATTGAGTACTAAAATGTAATTCATATTACGATAAAACTTATTTCCTGAAATTTCGGGGTGGGGGGGGTTGACCCCTTAGACAGTGAATTGACATATTATCAAACTTTTAGGTAAGAACATTATCTGTGGTTGTTTGTTGGTTTTTACGATATTTTAATTTTTTAATGAATTATGAGCATTTTCATATATATATATATTTCATATTCATTACTCACTTAAAAATTAAAATATCATAAAAAAACAAATAAGAAAACACAGTTGACGTTCATAACTAAAAGTTTAGTAATACACCAATTAACTTTAATATCAAAATTAAAAACATACTATTATAACTGGTGAACGAAAATTTACTATATCGTATGTGTGTAAGACAAAGACAACACATGCGGGTTCAATGTTAAATATATAATATATTTATTTGCTTTAAAGTATTTATAAATTGTTCATTGTTTTATATACCACTTGCTAACTTATTAAGGGTTTTTATAACCCCTCCCCCTACATTTTTTCTGGGTACAACCTAGTATTTAGCCATAATCAAGTTCAATATAGATACCTAATTAATGTAAAATTATTTTTTTTGTAAAGTTTACAGTTTATACCTTATTGCATAACTATTTATTATATCATTAATTTCATATTTAATGTATTAATATTTTAGACTGCAAAAAAAATAGTAAAAGTTCAGTCAACATTAAAAACTGCATCAAATTTCAGGTATAGTAGGATAATATAATGTATTATTATTAATTTTATTTTTCTATGTATACTTACTTAATTTGTATATTTTCTATAAATTATTCTTAGCTTAAATATATAAACTTAAATTATTTTATTATTTTTTAACTATATTTTTATTTAAATTACAGTTCTCAAAGTTCAGTTTATACAGAATGTTCAAAAAAATCTAAGAAAACTATAGATTCTAATTCAACAAGAGTAGGTTCTACAAAAATAAAAGCTAGACGTCTTTTGGAATTGAAAAAATTAGATTCTAACCTTACTAAAGCTCTTGTTGACATTGAAAAACTAGATAATTCTAAAAGTACGACTGATACATGTAAAGACTATATTAATACATGTCGTAGTGCTTGTTCTGAGGCATTGGAAAATCGTGTGTGTAGAATGGTCATTGAGAATTCTCAAGCTGCTTTGTATGCAGTTTGTGATCGTTTACGTGAAACATGCAAACATAATGAAATTTTACAAAATGAAACTATACGTTTGCGAGAAGAAATTGGTGAAAAAAAATCATTTGAAGAATTGGCTGCTGATCAAATTGCTATTGTTGAACGTAAACTTACTGAAAAAGTTAATGATTATATGAAGATTTCCGAGACGGTTAAAGATAATTTTTTAGCTAAAATGAGGTATATTTTGTTTGCTCTGGATGAATTAGAATCTATGGTCGATGGTGAAGTAAAAGAAATTATTCATAAATTAAAGCTAGACATTGAAAATACAGATCCAGAAGGTCCTAATTACAAACAGCTTTTAGAGAAATATGAAAAGTATACATTTTGTATTTTATTATATTAATTTAGTATGTAATAAATTATTATTTTGTTGTCTTAGAATACTAAAAAGAAACATTCAACTTGAAGAAACTGCTAAGAAATATGACGATTTAGAAAGAAAAATAATTGATTTGACAAATGTAAGTTAGAATAAAAAAAACTTTCTTGAATTGTTTTACTAAAAAAAAAAGATAAGAATATTTTTAATACTTAAATTGTTTATAGGAAAAGAATGCTATGGCAGCTAAATTACAAAATAATAAATTAAAGACAACTGGTTTATCAAAGAACCGTTTAGATGCTTTGGCCACACCTCGCAGACGTGTTGATGCTGAGAATATCGTCCCAAAAAATAAAACTTATGTACTTAAAAGTAATACACTTAACACTGTAAAACCAGTTGCTCAGTCTTCTCCATTGAGAGAAATGAACTGGTAATTAAAGTTTAAGACAAGTATATTATTTGTATAATTTTAATTGTATTTTTCTTTTTTTCTTTTATTAATCTGTATATCAAAATATTTTGTGACTCAATAATTTACTTAAGTTTTTATTTATTTTTTTACACTTATATTGATTAATTTTTTAATATTTGACTGATATAATAAATTAGTTAATTTTTGAAAAAATAATGGTATTAATATACAAATTGTATTATTAGGACAGCAGTTCTCAACCTATGAACACAACTATTTTGTTATAATGAATTTCTGTTAAGACTTAATAGCTGTCATGTCTAACTGTTTAAATCTAAGCATGAGGTCTTCAAGGAACAAACAAACATATTTTATGCTAGTGATAAAATTAGTGTATTTGTGGGGGAGTTGAATTTATTTCACTAATATTCAAAAATATCTTTTAAAATTTAAAAAACTAACTAAATTTTGGGTATAAAACTAAATTCAGCCAACTTTGAATAATTAGTAATTAGTAATACATAATCATAAATATTTTTGTAAAGATGATTTAGTAATGAAATGGATTATAACCCTGTTTAAAAAGAATTCTAATGTTAAGAATGTTTCAGGAGCTATTTTAGCAAGAGAATCATTCATTGTCTCATCATTGACTCTGCCTTAAGTGATTTTAAAATCAAGAATATATCAAATTTATGACTAGAAATGAAAAAAGGATATTTGATATCTTTATAAGCTCTTAAATTTTTAAGGTCTTTTGTATCTACATATATGTATGAAAAAACATTTTCCCACTAATACATGAAAATTATAAATAGGAATAAAATTATCATAGAAGACAACATAAGACTTAAGTTATATCAACATTTAGCTCGGTATTGATGTCCTGATTCATTTAATACATTGACTATCTCATTAAATTATTCATTCATATTGAATCAAGTGGTACATGAAAAATTTTCAGACCGTGTAAGTGGTATACAGGTAATAAAAATTTGGAAACTGCTGTATTAGGATATCCAATTCACATTAACATTTATATTATATAAAGCAAAAACAAAATCTAAATAAATTAAACAACACATTTTATTCATTCATAATATAAATTTTTTTTCTTTGATCAGGTTTGAAACCAAATCGTTTGTATTTAAAAGCTATTTCAAGTTAACTATCATTAGTTTTGTTTATTTTATGTTAAAATATTTTTGGAAATAAAATAATATTTTCAATAAATAAAACATGGAACTGTTATTATAATAATAATAATACATATTTAATAATTTTACAATATTATGTACATAATTAATGAGAAAAAAAAAAAAAGCAAGCGCTTCAAGTTGATGAAGTGACGCAAAACAAAAACTTGTACATCAGTCATATTTGTTTTATCAAAATAAACTAGTGAGAATTATATGGGAAAGGTATCAAACAATTATAAAACAAATACAATTTATTTAATAAATATTCTTCAACTAGTTGAGCGTTCCGCGGCAACAATGAGTACCACACAAGCATGGTATTTTGTTTTCTTCAAGTGGGAATTTATAATCATAAGTTATTTCCTCATTTACACCGATTGGCTGTTTGCTATATATAACTATTTTCTTTTGTCCATCAATTTGAATTATCTTGGCATAACAATTAGGCTGCAATTAAAAAAGATATTAAAAGAATTTATTTAGAGTTAAAATGATAAGGGGTGGCGACTTGTTATTTATTTTATTCCTAACGTACACACCACATATCCAATTTTTATTCAATAAAAATTTGATCTTGTGTGGTAAGCTTTAAAATTTCAGTGAATTGACTTATTATCCAACACAAAAGGTAAATTATGAATATATAAAAGCTAAGGCTTTTAAATTTTAAAACAAGTTATGAGCATTTTAAAATTAAAATTTGTTATTGTATGAGAAAGAAATCAAATAGTGCTCTGACATCATAAAAAATAATATCTATAATTGGTTTTACATATACACGAGGATAAAAATCAAGATTTTTTTTTCAGTAGCTACATATTTAAGGAAATTCAAGAACCTAGGAATCATTTACTTAGACGCAAAAAGCTAAGAAAGGTCACTTAAATTCTATGGATTAAAAATAGTATAAATATTATTTAAACTAAAATAAGTTTTTTTTACATCTAGCTAGAATAGCTTCTTTTTTCATGCAGACTGAAGCCAAGTTTGGTTATGTGACAACATTAAAATTACATATAAAAAAAGATTCTGAGCAAAAGCGGTTTGTTAACTTATATTTTATGATTTATTTATATTGCTATAATGGTGATTTATTGTAATATAAAAACAGTAAGACAAATTATTTTTTGCCAAAATCATTGCATTTATTATATTATATTTAATTATTATAATGCTATATATTTATATAATATATAATTGTTGTTAACACTTGAGTTGATACCATAGAATAGAATGAATAAGTTAATGGTATAAATAAGCAATAACAAAATGAATCTTAACTTTGAAAATGTCACTGTATGTATAAAATATAATAATGTGCGTTAAGTTATAACTCCTACAAATAATATTTTTGTGTGACAACAAAATAAAAAAAATCATTTAAATTTGTTAAAATACTTCAGTTTGTTCAAATTTAAATTTTAAATAAATATTTTTTACTTTGACTCAAACTACTTATGAGAAATCTTATAATAAAATTTCAAGCCTTATTTACAAAAAATTGAAAATTTCTTAAATTTTTAACTAAAAAATAAATGCAAATGTTTATAAAAAATTGTGCTTATTGATCTTAAATATTTTTAAATAACAATAGTAAAATAATTCAAAAAATATTGTATTAACCAAGCTCATTTTTTTCAATATATGTATAAAAAAGAAAAAATAACAAATATCTAAAAATAACTCAAAATGGGTTAAAATACTTTGACTCAATTATATGCTATGTATAGATATGCAAATAAAATTATTTTGTGAATATTTAATGAATTTACAGTTATTCACCCTTTTAATTACAACCAACTAATAAGAGAATTGATTTTGTCAAAAACAAAGTTTGTATAAAAGTTTTAGTTTTTCTATTTTTTATGTTTTTTAACTAAGAAAAGTCATGGAATATTTGTGATCCCCCTACAGTGCCAATTAGATTTATTTTCTATTAGAAGAGATATTAAAGTTGAAAATCTAAGCACTTTTACTGCTCCAATATGTGTTGACACGCACAATAAAAATATCAATGTAAAATCATTACATTAATTATATAATTCATAATTTAATATCTTTTTTTAAGTTTATTTAATAGCTATCTATGAAACTTGATGGACAATTAAATATTTGAAATAATTATTAAAAAATGAATTACTGTTAAATACCACAGTATATTATATATTATTATTTTTGGTGGTTTCAAATGTTGTACTTAATTAAAACATTATTTTAACTATTTTGATTATTTTCCTAAAAAGGAAAAACTTATTTTAAGATTCTAACTAACTGAAATATTGTTTAAATAATACAAAAAATACTCACATTACAACTGTGATTAATGAATCTTGCCAGATTACCACATTTAGTAGCATCAATAATGGTATCCAAATCTATTCTAAACAGATATGAGCTACCTATGCCAGTAGCTTCATATTGTCGCTCACGTAGATCAGCAACTACAGGACGAACCATTTGCCCTACATACTCAATAACCATTTCATCAGCAGCAATAGATTCCATAGCAAACAAACCCCAATCGTGTATCGCAGATTTTCCAAATTTCAATTGTTTTTTGCGGAACTTTAATACATTGAATTTGAGCAAATCACTGTCTGACGTAGCCCCAAAAGCAGTTAATAATCTTCTTTGGTTACTACGAGCTTCACGAGAAAGAGCCAACATTTTTCCAGTAGATTCTTTAACACGTTTAAGTTCTGTGATACGATTCAATTGTGCAATCGTATGTCCAAAATGATACTAAAATAAAAAATTTGTATCATGTTATAGCTAAAAATGTTCAAAAACTGAATATGTTTAAACATGATGAAAATATCCTCATAAATAAACTTATTTAAATTATAATATATAATTAACAGAAAAAAGTAATATTTACCTTATGGTTAGCTTTTTGTTTACTGTCTACTTTATAATAACCTTCTGTTCTACCACACCCTGTATCATGAACTTTCCATTCATCTTTCTTCTTTTTCCGTGGAAGCAGATTTGGAAGTGCCGTCAGTGTTTATAAATTAAAGAAAATTTTGACTTTTTTGAAAAAATAAGTGAATAACCAATTAATTTAAATTAATTTATGTCTACACCAATTTGTATATCTTCGATTAATAAAAAAAATTAACGTTATAATTGTATATAATTTTAGTTTCAACATGAAATTAAAATATACTGCTCCTTATTAGTATAATTTTAAAATAAATTAAGTTTAAAAGTTTAATTTCATTTTTATCATAACTCATTTCTCATTTATTTGACTACAATTAGCTTTTTTTTGTTTTTTAGCATCAGGTTTATGATTTAATATTGAAGTAAAAATAATGAAAAACGTTTAAATAAAAATCCAAAGTTAAAAATATAATTATTTAACAAGACGATGAAAATTGATAAATAGCCACGTGAAATCATAGAGCCAATAAGTAAATAGCTTTCTATATTTTAAGTGTAATTTTAGGTATTTTTATAATCTTTTGTATATAATATGTTTTAGACAATAGTGTGACTTTAAATTTATCTTATAACAGCATATAATATAAATTTCACTTGTCACTGCAGCACCTCATAGCCAAAAATATAATTTTATGAAATTTACTAATATTTTTTAAATTATATAGAAACTAGAAAGTATAATTAATATCACACCAGTGTCTTTAACATATAAAACTACTTTCTTAATTAAATAAAATACTTTACATCACTTATACTACATTCAGTTTAGAGTATACCGAGTGACGAATGAAGACTTGTCATGTCTGTGAACGTCTTACCACCTACCAGTTATTGGTTCTGGTGTCCACCCATTGATCATCTATTTATCCACTACGCCGTATGGTTGTTGACGATTGTTACTAAACGATTAATCAGAAGGTCCAACCACATAAAACAGTCACTAGCATATGTGC